TTATAGAAAATTTTCGATAAATCTTCTTTTTATAGAAAATTTTCGATAAATCTTCTTTTTATAGAAAATTTTCGATAAATCTTCTTTTTATAGAAAATTTTCGATAAATCATCTTTTTATAGAAAATTTTCGATAAATCATCTTTTTATAGAAAATTTTCGATAAATCTTCTTTTTATAGAAAATTTTCGACAAATCATCTTTTTATAGAAAATTTTCGATAAGTCTTCGTTTTATAGAAAATTTTCGATATATCTTCGTTTTATAGTTTTCGATATATCTTCGTTTTATAAATTTTCTTTTTATAGAAAATTTTCGATATATTTTCTTTCTATAGAGAATTTTCAATAAATTTTCTTTTTATAGAATTTTCGATAAATTTTCCTTAATAGCAATTTTGGATAAATATCTGTCTTTCAAATTAGTTGTGTTTCCCATTGAGCCACAATTCCCTCGACTTCATTTAGCAAAACTCTTATTAAATATTCACCAATCATATAAAATACAATAATTTATGTTTAAACATATATTTTTCTTATAAATTTAACAACAACAAAAAACTTGTATTCCCCCAAAAGACATTATACGCATAAAATAAGCATTTTATGACCATTATAACTTGTAATACACTTACATGTATGAATATATAATCATTATTATATAGAGAAAACCTAAAGGCGCTTTAATTTTTACGCCAATTTTAAAAACTGATTTATGTCTCAAATTATTTACATACATGCAACATGTACTCAACAATAATGCCCCAAAGGGTCGGACGGTCGGTTGGTCGTTTGTCGCTTTATACAATAGACTAAAACTTGAGAGTCTTTAGAATCTCTTTAGTGAAAAATATTTGTGGCTATTGTTGTTTGATTTTTTTTCTTGCAAATTTTCTTTGAAGACAAAAATTTCATTTTAGGTGTAAGAAAAGAGCATAACAGCTATGGAATACAAATGTTAATGATTATTATAATGAATAGGTGTAATAAATAAATTACATGTCCTTAAAGCTATGAATATTGGATTTGAATTTGTGAAAAAAAATATAAATTTTATATAAATAGATTCCATAGAATATGAAGGAAATTTAAGAATTTATTGATCCTGCTACAGTGGACATCTTGAGTTTACTTTAAATAAAAAAATTTTTAATTTTTCTTTAACTAACTTCTACAGCTTTCAACTAAATATTAATTTATCTTTTTCCTAGACCACTAGGCACCGATAGCTTAAACACAATCAGACAATTTCTATGTAGCTTGTCTTTCTACATTTCTATAGCAATATTTCATGAATAATTTAAATCTTTATAAAAAAAACAACAACAACAAAAACATCTACAAAAACAACGTCATTGTAACTCAATTAACCTGTTAACACTTTTTACAATTTTACAAAAAAAAAAAGAGAAAAAGCTCACAACCCAACAACCCCATTCTTTTGAGTTCCAATGTAACCAGTGAAAAAGAACACACTTATCAATGAATATTAAAGAGTTTCTTCTCGGTCTTTGCACACAACAAAAAACCATGCAATTCAAAGACTAGGAACTAAATAACTAAACCATCGCGATAAAACAACAAATGGACAGACAGTGAAACGGACGACAAAAGAAAAGAAGCAAAAACAACAAACACTTAAACACAATGTTGTCTTTGAACATAAAAGGAATCGTTAAAACAAGAACATTTAAACCACTAACCAGCCACTACACTTTATCTTAAGCGGGTCCATAAGAATGTTTGTTTTATTTTACGCTGTTGTTTTGCTCTTATTGGGTAGGGAAAAGAGTTATTTCAAGTATTTTTTTACTATTTCAGCTTTTAAATGTTTCCTTCCTCAATTCCTATTGATTTTTAAAATATGTGATCCTTCATTTGTTCCAGGTCCTACCAAGATATCTCGGTCCATGTTCTTTAATGGAAAGCTATATATAATCTGATTCATATTCATTAACCGTTTCACTTTGCAGTACCTCTTTCCAAAAGGTCAGGAATTGAATTTCAATTCTATATTCCTGATGAAAAGCTCTTCGGAGAAAAATTCTCTCTAATCACTGCACTCTTTATGTTTTTGAACCATATAAATCATAAATCGTTCTCACCCAGGTCAAGGTTTCTTCACGATACTCGAATCGAATGTGAAAAGGAAAACTATAGGGCCCCAAGTGAAGGACACCGAATTTAAGATTCTGAATAGTTTCAGTTCGAAATTCTCCTTTCCTAAAGACAAGGGTTTGAATTTCAGTCATCTATTGTTGAGGAAATGGTCTTCACAGGAAACTATCTAGTCACTGACTGCTTAAGTTTTTGAACCGTTTGAATTTGTAATCTCATGTTTTCGATGTTTCCGATAAGAATCACAGTTATCTCTTGACGATATTTGAATCTAAAGCGAATAGGATACATCGTTTTCCATCTGAAGAAGACCAAGCTCTATGGGAAAAAGTATAAAAGCTGTGCCTGTTTAAGTTTCTAAACCAAGTTTCAGCTTGAAATCACCCTTTCCTAAAGGTCAGGTATAAAATTTCAGTCATATATTCATGAGGAAAAGCTATTCGAAGAAACTTTTCTAGTCACTGTCTGCTTAAGTTTTTGAAGTCACGGTGAGGTGTGAAACGGAGTCATCTTTTGTCGATATTCGAATCGAATATGAAAAGAAAACCGATGCAGGTATGGCGTCATCTGAAGTAGGCCAAGCTCTTTAGTGACAATTCTCTATTCAGTGATTTTTTTAGTTTCTGAACTGTTTCAATTTGAAATTCAATTTGAATTCTTTCCAAAAGATCGCGGTTGGAATCCCAAAGGTCCATTGTTGAAAAAAACTCTTCATATACAATTCTCTAGTTTCCTAAAGGTCGTAATTTCGTTCCTAAAGTTCGAGGTGTTAAGCCTCTTGGTGATATTCAAATCGACCACTAAAAGTAAAACGATGAAGGTATTGGGCCATCAGAAGGAGATCATGCTCAGTGCCTCGTTTCAGTTTATCTCTCGTTTCAGTTTGAAATCCCCCTTTCCTAAGGCACAGAGTTTGAATACCAGTAATCTTTTGTCGATGTTTGAACAATGAGCTTCTCCATCTTTCCCCTTAAATTTGGCCACCTGTAGGTCCACTTTGTAGAATGGTTGCATTACCAATGTCTTCGAGCATCAAATGATTTTGAGATGCTTATATAAAGATATGAAGCTGCAGCTAATAATAGCAAGTCGAGCTAGACTTTGGATATGGATAGAAGACTTCATCTTTCCCTGAAGGAGTTTTCACCTTTCGACGATCAGTATTCTCGAATATTCTAGAATTCCATTTTTTCCATTGCGAATGATGAAGGTAAATGATCTTATTATTTGTGATCATTTAGCGCGGGAAGAGGATAAGCAATTCCTTATTGTTGTATTTCGTGTTTCCCTTTTTACCGTTTGTTAATTTTGGGAACTTGACCTCCAATAAGATTCCTCTACATAGTACCGCCAACTTCGAGCATCAGACTAATCGTCGGCCTCTAAGCGAAATAAGTACCGTTGGTATCTTTCATTTCAGTTTGTTCAGGGCCTCTGCATTCCCTCGGAATGTATGCTGACTCTTGGTGACCTTAAATAATAAGACTCGAAGAACAGAGGTAGTAAGGTTTCCATCTGGTTTCAGACTCGGCTCTGTTGGAAGATGACCTCTATATCCAAGTATTTCCTTATAGTACTTCGCAATATTGAGGTTTTGGGAATAAACCCCACATTCCCGAGAAATAGACAGAGAGTCACATATCAGGTCTCTCTATTTATTCCTCAGGAATATCTGACTACTTTTTTTTACTACTAAATATTAAGTTAAGAGAGAGCCCCAAATGTTTTTATGCCATCAAGATGTAAAGGTTATGTTTGATGGAAATTCTTGCAAGTTGGGGTTTTTAAAGAGTTTCATGACTCTGTTGTACATTAAAATTCTCTTGAGAACTTTATGCACCAATCATCGTAATCTTAACCCTTCGTAAGATTGACGTTTCCATTGGACTTTCTAAACCTATTCAGAACTGTTTGAATAATTCCTTTTAAATCCATTAAGATTAGGATCTGGAGATTCCCTGTTTAGCAAATTGATGTCGCTCTCTAATTTAAGAATTTATAAATAACTTTTACCCCAACCCAACAATCGAATAAACAAACCAACATACCAGAATAGAACCTTTATATGGGATGTTGTGGATTTGGCTGGTGGTGGAAGTCAAGATAAACTGCTTAAATGTATTCTTCTACTAGAGAGAAGTTAAACTTAACTCACGTTCGGTTAGAAAAATAAAACGTGCTAGACAGGCTTTTGGCTATTTTTGGTTAGATCAACCACAACTACCGCAGCAGCAACAACAACAACAACATCATCATCATTATCATTGTAATCGTTATAATCATAATCATCATTGTCATCGTTAACAAAAAAAAAACATTCAATGTATCTTCGGTAGCTGTTACTGATGTTGCACACTGCACACAGAGTACAACGTCATCATTATGATCATCGGTAGCAACATTATCACAGTTAAAGGTTGTTTGCTGTTGTTGTTTTTTTATTCGATTTCTGTTTCACTGTGTTTGACTCAATGAGCAGCAGCTTCCTCAAATATGATTTTGGGTTGACTTGTTTATACTTTATGGTCTGGTTTGTTTGTTTTTTTTTTGTGTGTGCAACAATATATAGTAAAGTGCAACATGTAGACGTTGCAATGAAGGTCAGTTAAAATTGATCATATATGGTAATAGATATACCGTTACTTTTTTGAATCATTGCGAAGATCATAGAGAGGAAGTTGTAAATTGTTTGTTGGTGAAAGAGTAAAACATTAAAGCAAGGGGGTAGGAATTTAAAGGATGGGGAGAAAGAGAAAGGACCTTAGGTCGCTAATAGATCACTTTTAAAGGTTTCCCGATCTCTACTTTTCAATCAAGACTCTGAAGGTTACTCTATTTTAAAATCATTTCTTAAACCTTATTTTTTCCCTTCGCCACATTTTAGAGTACCGAAAAATTATATATAAAAGTTGTGGAACTTGAACCAAAGATTACAACATTAGGTGCTAATCTTGATGAATCCATAAGACTACAGAAAGAACACGATGAGACTCTTAGGAATATACAGGTAAGTTCGATGGAAAGAAACTAAACTTTTCGATTCTATAATTTTCTTTTACAATCCAATTGCTAGAATTTACCCGGACCCATGGAAGAATTTGTACACAAAGCCGATAAATTACTGGCCAGTAAACGTATCAGTTCGGAACTAGTCAATGCCATGGCCGATACCTTAAATATTATATGGGGCGATATTTTACACCTGCTACAAGATCGTCAGAATATTTTACATTTATGCACAGAATTCCATGACAAAATGGTGCAATGTCAGCGACGTATGGATCAGTTGGAGGTGGCCTGTATAGACACCATGATACCCATAGAAGTGACAGCCGTACAAGAGTTCCTCAACAAATTCAAACAACTGCGCATCGATATGCTGACAGCTGTTATGGCCGCCCTTAAAGATGGCAATGAATTGTTGGCACAACTTCAAGAATTAGAAAATATGGAGAGTTTAGACACACGACCCGAGCACATAAAACGTGATGCAACACGTTCGGTACATCAAGTACAACAATGGTTGGAGGCTTTACACGATCGTCGCAATGCTTTGGAAATTGCTTGGCAAACGAGAAAAACACAATTAGAACAGTGTTTGGCCTTGGCCCTGTTGGGAAGAGAACTGCTAGAGGTGGAGTCTTCATTGCAGCAGCAGCGTAATGAGGTTACCTCAATGTTTAGTTTGGGCGAGTGTGAACATACTGCCAATAATGCTTTGCACAACTATAGGGAATGGAAGCAACAGGCTCTTTTGTTAAGAGATCGTGCTTTAAAAATAACTAGGGCCAAAGAAAAACTGCAGGCCTCGGGTACTTTTACCGGAGATGAGGCTTGTGCTAGAGCCTATAATGTTTTAAGTGCCTGTACAGAACATTTAGATTTAGTGGATCAGCGTGAACACTGGTTGCAGCAATCTCGTGATTTCTTCTCTAAAGCCGATAATACTCTTAAGGTTTTAGAAAAACTAGAAGTAGAATTATCTAATGTTAAACTGCCTCCCAATTCACCCGAAAGTTTTGCCATGTATGCTAAAGTCCACAGGGATGTGGGTAATTTTACGGAAGAACCTTTAAGATTAGGCTATAGCATACTAGATGAGGTAGGACGTACACAACCTGAGACACAGGGCATTAAGAGGGTATTAGATGAAATAGAAAATCGTAAAGCCTATATAGAGGGCATTTGTGCCAATAGTAATGAAGATCAACGACGAGTTCAACAGGCTCTTAAGGAATTTTTGGCACAATACAATGATCTATTGGAATGGCTAATGTCTTCGGGTCAATTGTATTTGCAACAAAACATACACATGGGTCGAAATCTCGAACAATCCAAACAGTTCCTATTGCAGCATCATGAACTCATGCAGGATTTGGAGGTTAGTTAAACACCTTTCTATAATAGATAAAAACGTAGAATTAAATTTTCCTTTCTTTCTCTTTCTATTCCCACAGATCAAGGGCGAACTTATTAATCTTTTACTGGAATCCATTAAAACCCATTTGGAATCTTTAAGTGCTCAACAGCGTTACGATGTTGATTCCAAAGCAGAATCTCTACACAAACATTGGATTGAATTGAAAGATTTGGTTTTGAAACGTGTCGATTGTGTTTCGATTTTAATCGAATTCTTCGAAAAAGCCAATGAATTTGCTAGTCAATTGGATAATTTGAAACGTCAGCTGGCGCAGACGCCCAATGAACAAAAATTGCAATTTTTACAGGAAACTTGGCAGAATATACGCAATGATTTTAATGATTTGAAAAATTTGGGAAATCGCTTTTTGCACTGGAATGTATGTAAACGATTTGTATGGCTTCATAGATATTTATACACAATTGGAATTCTCAATATTTATAAAACCTAAATTAGCTATTTACTAACATTTTGAAACGCTTGGCTTAGAAAATTGCTTTATTAGATTTGAAATACCACAAATCGCATGTGCTCTTCTTAGAAAAATGGCAACAGAGACCGATTAGGTTTTACAGCTTTGTCGAACAAAATCAAATGTGATTGAGAAATTCGAAACCCAGGAACGAGATTATACTTTTCTTAAGTAATACCACGAATCAAAATTAAACTTTGACCTCTGTCAAATCTTATTCCAATTTCGGAAAAAAAAACTAAAAAACAAATTATAAGTTAAATTTTTCACCAAAAATAAAATTTTCACAAAAATTTCAATTTTTATTAATTTTTCACTAAAAATTTAATTTTTACCAAAAAATTTACCTTTTCTGAAAAAAACGATTTTTCAGTAAAATTCGAATTCTGATTAAAAATCAATTTGCCTACAAAAATTCGATTCTTAACTAAAAATTTGATTAACAAAATTAACTAGAACTAAATTGGAACTAGAACTGAAGTAGAACTGAACTAGAACTGAACTAGAACTGAACTAGAACTGAACTAGAACTGAACTAGAACTGAACTAGAACTAGAACTGAACTAGAACTGAACTAGAACTGAACTAGAACTGAACTAGAAATGAACTAGAAATGAACTAGAAACTGAACTAGAACTGAACTAGAACTGAACTAGAACTGAACTAGAACCGAACTAGAACTAAACTAGAACTAACTAGACACTAGACTGAACTAGAACTGAACTAGAACTGGACTAGAACTGAACTAGAACTGAACTAGAACTGGACTAGAACTGAACTAGAACTGAACTAGAACTGGACTAGAACTGAACTAGAAACTGAACTAGAACTGAACTAGAACTGAACTAGAACTGAACTAGAACTGAACTAGAACTGAACTAGAAACTGAACTAGAACTGAACTAGAACTGAACTAGAACTGAACTAGAACTGAACTAGAACTGAACTAGAACTGAACTAGAACTGAACTAGAACTGAACTAGAACTGAACTAGAACTGAACTAGAACTGAAACTAGAACTGAACTAGAACTGAACTAGAACTGAACTAGAACTGAACTAGAAACTGAACTAGAACTGAACTAGAACTGAACTAGAACTGAACTAGAACTGAACTAGAACTGAACTAGAACTGAACTAGAACTGAACTAGAACTGAACTAGAACTGAACTAGAACTGAACTAGAACTGAACTAGAACTGAACTAGAACTGACTAGAACTGAACTAGAACTGAACTAGAACTGAACTAGAACTGAACTAGAACTGAACTAGAACTGAACTAGAACTGAACTAGAACTGAACTAGAACTGAACTAGAACTGAACTAGAACTGAACTAGAACTGAACTAGAACTGACTAGAACTGAACTAGAACTGAACTAGAACTGAACTAGAACTGAACTAGAACTGAACTAGAACTGAACTAGAACTGAACTAGAACTGAACTAGAACTGAACTAGAAACTGAACTAGAACTGAACTAGAACTGAACTAGAACTGAACTAGAACTGAACTAGAACTGAACTAGAACTGACTAGAACTGAACTAGAACTGAACTAGAACTGAACTAGAACTGAACTAGAAACTGAACTAGAACTGAACTAGAACTGAACTAGAAACTGAACTAGAACTGACTAGAACTGAACTAGAACTGAACTAGAAACTGAACTAGAACTGAACTAGAACTGAACTAGAACTGAACTAGAACTGAACTAGAACTGAACTAGAACTGAACTAGAACTGAACTAGAACTGAACTAGAACTGAACTAGAACTGAACTAGAACTGAACTAGAACTGAACTAGAACTGAACTAGAACTGAACTAGAACTGAACTAGAACTGAACTAGAACTGAACTAAAACTGAACTAGAACTGAACTAGAACTGAACTAGAACTGAACTAGAACTGAACTAGAACTGAACTAGAACTGAACTAGAACTGAACTAGAACTGAACTAGAACTGAACTAGAACTGAACTAGAACTGAACTAGAACTGAACTAGAACTGAACTAGAACTGAACTAGAACTGAACTAGAACTGAACTAGAACTGAACTAGAACTGAACTAGAACTGAACTAGAACTGAACTAGAACTGAACTAGAACTGAACTAGAACTGAACTACTGAACTAGAACTGAACTAGAACTGAACTAGAACTGAACTAGAACTGAACTAGAACTGAACTAGAACTGAACTAGAACTGAACTAGAACTGAACTAGAACTGAACTAGAACTGAACTAGAACTGAACTAGAACTGAACCTAGAACTGAACTAGAACTGAACTAGAACTGAACTAGAACTGAACTAGAACTGAACTAGAACTGAACTAGAAACTGAACTAGAACTGAACTAGAACTGAACTAGAACTGAACTAGAACTGAACTAGAACTGAACTAGAACTGAACTAGAACTGAACTAAACTGAACTAGAACTGAACTAGAACTGACTAGAACTGAACTAGAAACTGAATCTAGAACTGAACTAGAACTGAACTAGAAACTGAACTAGAACTGAACTAGAACTGAACTAGAACTGAACTAGAACTGAACTAGAACTGAACTAGAACTGAACTAGAACTGAACTAGAACTGAACTAGAACTGAACTAGAACTGAACTAGAACTGAACTAGAACTGAACTAAGACTGAACTAGAACTGAACTAGAACTGAACTAGAACTGAACTAGAACTGAACTAGAACTGAACTAGAACTGAACTAGAACTGAACTAGAACTGAACTAGACTGAACTAGAACTGAACTAGAACTAACTAGAACTAGAACTAGACTAGAACTGAACAAGAACTGAACTAGAACTGAACTAGAACTGAACTAGAACTGAACTAGAGCTGAACTAGAACTGAACTAGAACTGAATTAGAACTGAATTAGAACTGAACTTGAACTGAACTAGAACTGAACTAGAACTGAACTAGAACTGAACTAGAACTGAGCTAGAACTGAACTAGAACTGAACTAGAACTGAACTAGAACTGAACTAGAACTGAACTAGAACTGAACTAGACTGAACTAGAACTGAACTAGAACTGAACTAGAACTGAACTAGAACTGAACTAGAACTGAACTAGAACTGAACTAGAACTGAACTAGAACTGAACTAGAACTGAACTAGAACTGAACTAGAACTGAACTAGAACTGAACTAGAACTGAACTAGAACTGAACTAGAACTGAACTAGAACTGAACTAGAGCTGAACTAGAACTGAACTAGAACTGAACTAGAACTGAATTAGAACTGAATTAGAACTGAACTTGAACTGAACTAGAACTGAACTAGAACTGAACTAGAACTGAACTAGAACTGAACTAGAACTGAACTAGAACTGAACTAGAACTGAACTAGAACTGAACTAGAACTGAACTAGAACTGAACTAGAACTGAACTAGAACTGAACTAGAACTGAACTAGAACTGAACTAGAACTGAACTAGAACTGAACTAGAACTGAACTAGAACTGAACTAGAACTGAACTAGAACTGAACTAGAACTGAACTAGAACTAGAATTGAACTAGAACTGAACTAGAACTGAACTATGACTGAAATAGGACAGAAATAGAACTGAATTAAAACTGATTTAGAACCGAACTAGAACTAAACTAGAACGGAACAAGAACTGAACTAGAACTGAATTAATTTAAATATCCATAAAAATTTGTTAATGACTTTTTTAATATAAACCACAGTCTGTTACTGTCAGATATTTAAACGTAACCAAATTCACAAGTTTATTTCCAATATATTTATCTAAAAATTTCTCTAATATCTCAATTAGAAAACTCAAAAATTATTGCAAAATATCAAATATAATGAAATCATTTGACTACTGCATGGTGGCAAATTTTAAACATATTCTGACAATAGACACACACACATACATATACACAGAACATATGGCCCAGATTTATCAACAAAACAATCACTTGAACAAACCAATACAAAACAACAATAAAAATTAACAAATTTTTTAACAATTTAAAAATAAATAATAAAACACAAAATTAAAAAAAAAAAAGAAAATGCCACACTTGTACTTTCCTCCATACAAAAACATATTTTTGACAGCCGTTGTTGTTTAGTCCGTCCGTCTGTCTGCCTGTCCCTTTAACACAACACACGGTTCAGTTAAGCAAAAGCTGAAAAAAAATTATTAATGACTTGCTCCAGTTTTCATTCTTCACTTCATTTCAATTTTTTCTGGTTTTTTGGTGTGAAAGTGATATACAAATATTCAAAACGAATTTTCTAGGAAAATACTTGAAAATAAATACCAGAATACAAACACACAACATTGAAATTGGGAATTTACTTTTACTTTAAATTTTCTTTATTTTTTTGCTTATTTGCCAAAATTTTATCCCGGAAATTGTGAAAATATATGTCCATATTTTCAACAATAAACTTTTCCATAATGATAAAGTGTTGAAAGTAAAGGGACAGCAAGTAAAAAAAATTTAAAAATATTTCTGTGCAATATTACAGTTTTCGACAGCAATTTTTCTTTAAGAATATTTTCCATTTTGTTAAAAGCAAGCAAACTTTACAATAGCTTAAAGTGTAAAAATACTGTTGCCAATAGGTATCAGGAGGTTAGTAGAGATGGTTGGAGTTTATTTTATAAAAATAGACAGACAATATGTAGTCTTAAAATACCTAATTTAAGAGTTGCAGGGAAAGAAGAAAAACAAATTTGGAAAACATAGAAAAAGTATTATGTACATTTAGTGACAAATTTTCTATATTTAACACAATTTGGCTATAATTTTTTCTCTTTAAAGAAAAATTTGTTCCAAGAACTAGAACTGAACTAGAACTGAACTAGAACTGAACTAGAACTGAACTAGAACTAGAATTGAACTAGAACTGAACTAGAACTGAACTATGACTGAAATAGGACAGAAATAGAACTGAATTAAAACTGATTTAGAACCGAACTAGAACTAAACTAGAACGGAACAAGAACTGAACTAGAACTGAATTAATTTAAATATCCATAAAAATTTGTTAATGACCTTTTTTAATATAAACCACAGTCTGTTACTGTCAGATATTTAAACGTAACCAAATTCACAAGTTTATTTCCAATATATTTATCTAAAAATTTCTCTAATATCTCAATTAGAAAACTCAAAAATTATTGCAAAATATCAAATATAATGAAATCAAGAATTAGAATTAGTAAAATCCTTAAACTTTCACAAAAATTTTGCTTATAACTGAACTAAGTACAACTAAACTAGAACTGAACTAGAACTGAACTAGAAAAGAACTAGAACTGAACTAGAACAGAACTAGAACTGAACTAGAATTGAACTAGAATTGAACTAGAACTGAAACTAGAACTGAACTAGAACTGAACTAGAACTGTACTAGAACTGAACTAGAACTGAACTAGAACTGAACTAGAACTGAACTAGAACTGAACTAGAACTGAAACTAGAACTGAACTAGAACTGAACTAGAACTGTACTGAACTAGAACCTGAACTAGAACTGAACTAGAACTGAACTAGAACTGAACTAGAACTGAACTAGAACTGAACTAGAACTGAAACTAGAACTGAACTAGAACTAGAACTATAACTGAACTAGAAACTAAACTAGAACTGAACTAGAACTGAACTAGAACTGACCTAGAACTGAACTAGAACTGAACTAGAACTGACCTAGAACTGAAACTAGAACTGAACTAGAACTGAACTAGAACTGAACTAGAACTGAACTAGAACTGAACTAGAACTGAACTAGAACTGAACTAGAACTGAACTAGAACTGAACTAGAACTGAACTAGAACTGAACTAGAACTGAACTAGAACTGAACTAGAACTGAACTAGAACTGAACTAGAACTGAACTAGAACTGAACTAGAACTGAACTAGAACTGAACTAGAACTGAACTAGAACTGAACTAGAACTGAACTAGAACTGAACTAGAACTGAACTAGAACTAGAACTAGAACTGAACTAGAACTGAACTAGAACTGAACTAGAACTGAACTAGAACTGAACTAGAACTGAACTAGAACTGAACTAGAACTAGAACTAGAACTGAACTAGAACTGAACTAGAACTGAACTAGAACTGAACTAGAACTAGAACTAAACTAGAACTGAACTAGAACTGAACTAGACTGAACTAGAACTGAACTAGAACTGAACTAGAACTGAACTAGAACTGAACTAGAACTGAACTAGAACTGAACTAGAACTGAACTAGAACTGAACTAGAACTGAACTAGAACTGAACTAGAACTAGAACTGAACTAGAACTGAACTAGAACTGAACTAGAACTGAACTAGAACTGAACTAGAACTGAACTAGAACTGAACTAGAACTGAACTAGAACTGAACTAGAACTGAACTAGAACTGAACTAGAAACTGAACTAGAACTGAACTAGAACTGAACTAGAACTGAACTAGAACTGAACTAGAACTGAACTAGACTGAACTAGAACTGAACTAGAACTGAACTAGAACTGAACTAGAACTAGAACTAAACTAGAACTGAACTAGAACTGAACTAGAACTGAACTAGAACTGAACTAGAACTGAACTAGAACTGAACTAGAACTGAACTAGAACGAACTAGAACTGAACTAGAACTGAACTAGAACTGAACTAGAACTGACCTAGAACTGAACTAGAAACTGAACTAGAACTGAACTAGAACTAGAACTGAACTAGAACTGAACTAGAACTGAACTACGACTGAACTACAACTGAACTACAACTGAACTACAACTGAACTACAGCTGAACTACAACTGAACTAGAACTGAACTAGAACAAAACTAGAACTAAAACTGAACTAGAACTGAGCTGGACAAGAACTAACCTAGAACTGAACTAGAATTCAACTAAAAATGGTCTTTCGATTTACGCTTGACATAGGGTAACACTTAAAATTTTAAAGACATCAACAAATTTATATTTATATGACTGCTGGTTGAAAAGCAAAAAATAAGTATTTCGGTAAATCTTCTGTGATTTCTATTCTATTTAATTTTATTTTCAAATCTCAAGCAACTGTTGCAAAATGTTTATTTTGAGTTAATGTTGATTAATGGAAAACATGATAAATCTTTATAAATACGATCGCAGACAAAGTGCAACAAGTTGGAAAAAAATAGCACTTTTATCTATTCTTTATTTTTTATTAAAATAAATTTCTATATAATTTTTTTTCCAATTTACTTCTCGTTTATATTTTAAAAGCATTTCATATACAATTGAAAATGTGCTGAAAATAGATCTTTTATAGAATACAACTCTTTTTAAATGGCTTTTATTTTTTATGTTTTTAACATAAAACATGGCCATGTTGTGTTTTGGCTTCTTACCATAAATATTTTTAAACTCCATCAAGAAAAACACACAGCAGCCACAAGAATAAAATAAAAAAATAAATAAATAAATATTTACTCTCCTATATAAACAAATATGTATGTGGGGTTATAGCAATGAGAAATTTGTAGGATATAGTTGATATACAACGACTTGGAAGCATACTATATAGGGAGATATTTAGAGAAATATACGAAAGTTTTATCAACCTGAAAAGATCATGAAAATACAATGGAGTTTGATTATAGATCAGTGATCAGTTGTGTTGCGATCTTTTTTGAAAAGTTGTTAAATGTGATAGACTTTGACAAAATTTAATAAAAGGTAGGGTATTCATAGACAAGATCACACTTTTCTAGATTCACTGTTTTCTTTTTATCTGAGTATTTGCACATACTAAACCCAAAACAACAGCGATCTCTAACTCAATTTATGCTTTTTGTTGGGCTTTTTTGTTAAAGGAAAAACTAAATACAACAACAACTCATATACTAAAACATACAACAACAACATTAATACTATGTCTAAATTAATTTTTCCAATTTTCATGAAATATTTGTTCTCTCTCTTTCCAATTTTCCCTTGTCTATTTTCGGTCACCTCTTTATTCGTCTGCGTTCTCGCATCGCATAAACATCGACATTGTGTACATTTTATTTCGAAAAAAAAACTAAACGAAAACAAAAAAAAAAAAAAAAACTTTATATTTTAACGCATCAACGGAATTTGTGTAGATTTTGGATCCATATCTCGATACAAAATCCTCAGCAAATGCTGTCGAAGACATCCTAAATGGTTTTAGTAAGCAACAGATCGATGTAACAACAAGTTTGGAAAGTTGGACAACACATATAGCGGAAAAACGTGAAGTTGAAACTATATTGGAAAAGATCATGAGTGATAATGCAGAGGTGAGTATTATTTTTCTAGTTCAATAGTATCATTACCCAAAAAAATGTGTTCTAACTGAATTATTGAAGAAAGGAGTTGGTCAAAAACATTTGAATAAATTTGATTTCAAATAAGAAAATTATAGAAGGAAATTAATCTGTGAAGTTAAAAAGCAATGTCAAATTTGCCGGTACACAAAGTTTAAATAAGAGAATTTGAGAAATAAGTTTAAAAAGTGATATTTTTATTCTAAATAAAGCCCTTTAAAGTTTATTGCTCAATAAAAACTACCATTATAAAATTCGGAGTGAAGAAGGATTGAAATAAAACAGAATTAGAACTGAAAAACATAACTGAACTAGAATCGAACTAGAAGTGAACAAGAAGTGAAATAGAAGTGAACTAGAAATAAACCAGAAGAACTGAAATATAAGTGAACCAAACAATGAATTAGAAATGAAATAGAAATGAACTAGAACTAAACCAGAACTCCACTATAACAGAATTAGAATTGACTAGAACTGAACTAGAACTGAACTGAAGAACTAGAACTGAACTAGAACTGACTAGAACTGACTAGAACTGAACTAGAACTGAACTAGAACTGAACTAGAATCGAACTAGAATTGAACTAGAACTAGAACTGAACACTAACTAGAACTGACTAGAACTGACTAGAACTGAACTAGAACTGAACTAGAACTGAAACTAGAACTGAACTAGAACTGAACTAGAACTGAACTAGAACTGAACTAGAACTGAACTAGAACTGAACTAGAACTGAACTAGAACTGAACTAGAACTGAACTAGAACTGAACTAGAACTGAAGTAGAACTGAACTAGACACTGAAACTAAACTGAACTAGAACTGACTAGAACTGAACTAGAACTGAACTACGAAACTGAACTAGAACTGAACTAGAACTGAACTCGAACTAGAACTGAACTAGAACTGACTAAACTACTAGAACTGAACTAGAACTGAACTAGAACTGAACTAGAACTGAACTAGAAAACTGAACTTGATGAACTAGAACTAGAACTGAACTATAACTGAACTAGAACTGAACTAGAACTGAACTAGACTGAACTAGAAACTGAAACTAGAACTGAACTAGAACTGAACTAGAACTGAACTAGAACTGAACTAGAACTGACTAGAACTGAACTAGAACTGAACTAGAACTGAACTAGAAACTAGAACTAAGACTGAACTAGAACTGAACTAGAACTGAACTAGAACTGAACTAGAACTGAACTAGAACTGAACTAGAACTGAACTAGAACTGAACTAGAACTGAATCTAGAACTGAACTAGAACTGAACTAGAACTGAACTAGAACTGAACTAGAACTGAACTAGAACTGAACTAGAACTGAACTAGAACTGAACTAGAACTGAACTAGAACTGAACTAGACTGACTAAGACAACTTGAACTAGAACTGACTAGAACTGAACGAGAACTTGAAACTAGAATTGAACTAGAACTGAACTAGAACTGAACTAGAACTGAACTAGAACTGAACTGAACTAGAACTAGAAGGATCGAATGAACTAGAAAACTGAACTAGAATCATGACTAGAACTTAAATAGAACTGATCTAGAACTGAAACTAGAACTGAACTAGAACTGAACTAGAACTGAACCTAGAACTGAACATTAGAACTGACAACTAGAGAACTGAACTGAATACAGAACTAGAACTGACAAGAACTGAACTAGAACTGACTATAACTGAACTAGAACTGAACTAAACTGAACTAGAACTGAACTAGAAACTGAACTAGAACTGATCTGAACTGAACTAGAACTGAACTAAACTGAACAGAACTGACTAGAACTGAACTAGAACTGAACTAGAACTGAACTAGAACTGAACTAGAACTGACTAGAACTGAACTAGAACTGACTAGAAATTGAACTAGAACTGAACTAGAACTGAACTAGAACTGAACTAGAACTGAACTAGGACTGAACATAGAACTGGAACTAGAACTGAACTAGAACTGAACTAGACTACTAGAACTGAACTAGAACTGAACTAGAACTGAACTAGAACTGAACTAGAACTGAACTAGAACTGAACTATAACTGAACTAGAACTGAACTAGAACTGAACTAGAACTGAACTAGAACTAGAACTGAACTAGAACTGAACTAGAACTGAACTAGAACTGAACTAGAACTGAACTAGAACTGAACTAGAACTGAACTAGAACTGAACCAGAACTGAACTAGAACTGAACTAGAACTGAACTAGAACTGAACTAGAACTGAACTAGAACTGAACTAGAACTGAACTAGAACTGAACTAGAACTGAACTAAAACTGAACTAGAACTGAACTAGAACTGAACTAGAACTGAACTAGAACTGAACTAGAACTGAACTAGAACTGAACTAGAACTGAACTAGAACTGAACTAGAACTGAACTAGAACTGAACTAGAACTGAACTAGAACTGAACTAGAACTGAACTAGAACTGAACTAGAACTGAACTAGAACTGAACTAGAACTGAACTAGAACTGAACTAGAACTGAACTGGAACTGAACTAGAACTAAACTAGAACTGATCTAGAACTGAACCAGAAGTGAACCAGAAGTGAACTAGAATTGAAATAAAAGTAAAATAGAAATGAACTATAACTAAACTAGAACCAGAAGTGAACTAGTACTAGAACTAAAATTAGTACTAAACTAATATTTATATACAATATAATTGAATTTAATTCAAATTTATTAAACAATTTGTAAAATTTTAAATATCGACTAGTTTTAACAATTTAATTTTAACTTTATAATTTAAACATTTCTATTAAGAATGACAGACAGTTCACATAATAAATCAATATTTTAATTTTTTGTTTGTTTTCAATCTCTCCACCCACAGACCGCTACCAAAACCACACACGTGGATACCCAATTGTATCCGATATTTACTTCATCATCTGTTGATGCCAAACAACTATATGCGACCACCCAAGATAAATTGAAATTAGTGCTGCAAGATATCGATCAGGCACAACACGAAATACAAGAACGTGTTCACACCACACTCGCTATTCAAACGAAAGATCCGGAATCGATGCAAAAAATCGAACAGGTTATTAGCAATCTACGAACCCTTAAAGCCAAACTTGATGGCATACGTTACGACTACAAAACTTTGGTAGAAAGTGTTTTACAATTTTTAGAAAATGTTACGAAAATGCGCTACGAAATCGATAATTATTTCTTAAAGCAGCAGCAACAATACCAACAAAACAGCAATGATGCCATCGAAAACGTTGCAATAGCCGAACATGAGAAATTCCGTGATATGGTGATGGATAAATTTAGATCGTTGATCACACAATCAGAACTATTGATTGATCGTGTTAGAGCTTTGGAGCCACCAGGCGCCAAAGAAATTGATACTGATCGTATTTTGAAATTGCTGGAGAATTTACGCATCTATTTTGAATCTTCGAATAGCGAGAGAATGTCTTCATTGGAACGTTTGGAAAAATTGGAACAATTAAGATGATATCATGGATATCAATCGCAGTTTGGATAGTGTTTGCAAACATTGCAAGAGAATCAATAATCAAAGTGTTGACAGTTTGGCAGCAGCCAAGACGACATCTTTGGCATTTGAGTATTTTGAACGTACCATAGAGGTGAGTACACAAAAGAAGGGGAGATTCAGATAGAGCTCTTTTCAATAAGTGCTGATGTCATTTATAATTTGAATTTAATGGTTTAATTTAATTAATATTACTAAAATAGAGTTCAATGCCAAAATTTCTAAAACCAACAAAACATGAAATACGTTGGGGTTGTTATCTACAAACAATGGAGGTATTAATTATTATTGTTCTATTAGACTTTAATGTATCGAAATTGAAAAAAACCCAGTCAAATTTGTAAAAAGTGAAAAATAGATTTTTTGTACGATTGTAGTATATAACAATTGAAATACTTATTTATCATTCGAGCAGCTTTTAGAGCCAGTTATACAAGCTCAAACTATTATCTTTCGATTTTGTCGCAGGTATGCGATTTTAAAGATCTTCTCACTTCTCGTTCTGCAACAAATTTCGCTGGGATGTAAAAACTATAAATTACCATAGTGTCAATTGATTTTGTATTTGTTCGTTTTGTGTCCAGTCGTCACATTTGTTTTCTTTCAAACAACATTATGTACTATATAGTCAAGCATATGTCGTCATCTATTTTTAATTTCACTTTTTTATTTTTGAGTTTTTATATTTGAGGAATATAATTTATTTTTGCAGTGCATGACGTCAAATCTTTTTTCAAATCGTTGTTTTCCGCGATTTTATTTGTGTTTCTTGTGGGAGGGCAAAAATTTGTTCATGTCATGGCGCAGTAGCCTCCCATATAATGTCAATAAATATTTGCAAAAGCAAACAAAAAACATAATTTTAGACTATTCATTCATAATTTAGTTTGTAAATGAATTAAAAATACTTCATTATAAAAAATTTTACTTAATCGATCAACTGTCAATCAATTTGACAAACTGCACAAATCTTTTACATTTGGGTGCCTAATTAAGAACTTGGTTAATACTGAACTGAACTAGATTGGAAATAGAACTGTACTAAAACTGAACAAAAACTGAAATAGAACTGAACAAGAACTGAACTAGAACTGATCTAGAACTGAACTAGAACTGAACTAGAACTGAACTAGAACTGAACTAGAACCGAACTAGAACTGAACTAAAACTGAACTAGAACTGAAACTAGAACTGAACTAGAACTGAACTAGAACTGAACTAGAACTGAACTAGAACTGAACTAGAACTGAACTAGAACTGAACTAGAACTGAACTAGAACTGAACTAGAACTGAACTAGAACTGAACTAGAACTGAACTAGAACTGAACTAGAACTGAACTAGAACTGAACTAGAACTGAACTAGAACTGAACTAGAACTGAACTAGAACTGAACTAGAACTGAACTAGAACTGAACTAGAACTGAACTAGAACTGACTAGAACTGAACTAGAACTGAACTAGAACTGAACTAGAACTGAACTAGAACTGAACTAGAACAGAACTAGAACTGAACTAGAACTGAACGAACGAAACTGAACTAGAACTGAACTAGAACTGAAACTAGAACTGAACTAGAACTGAACTAGAACTGACTAGAATGAACTAGAACTAGAACTAGAACTAGAACTAGAACTGAACTAGAACTGAACTAGAACTGAACTAGAACTGAACTAGAACTAGAACTGAACTAGAACTGAACTAGAACTGAACTAGAACTGAACTAGAACTGAACTAGAACTGAACTAGAACTGAACTAGAACTGAACTAGAACTGAACTAGAACTGACTAGAACTGACTAGAACTGAACTAGAACTGAACTAGAACTGAACTAGAACTGAACTAGAACTGAACTAGAACTGAACTAGAACTGAACTAGAACGAACTAGAACTGAACTAGAACTGAACTAGAACTGAACTAGAACTGAACTAGAACTGAAACTAGAACTGAACTAGAACTGAACTAGAAACTGAACTAGAACTGAACTAGAACTGAAACTAGAACTGAACTAGACTGACTAGAACTGAACTAGAACTGAACTAGACTGAACTAGAACTGAACTAGAACTGAACTAGAACTGAACTAGAACGAACTAGAACTGAACTAGAACTAACTAGAACTGAACTAGAACTGAACTAGAACTGAACTAGAACTGAACTAGAACTGAACTAGAACTGAACTAGAACTGAACTAGAACTGAACTAGAACTGACTAGAAACTGAACTAGAACTGAACTAGAACTGAACTAGAACTGAACTAGAACTGAACTAGAACTGAACTAGAACTGAACTAGAACTGAACTAGAAACTGAACTAGAACTGAACTAGAACTGAACTAGATCCTGAACTGAAGAACTGAACTAGAACTGAACTAGAACTGAACTAGAACTGAACTAGAACTGAACTAGAACTGAACTAGAACTAGAACTGACTAGAACTGAACTAGAACTGAACTAGAACTGAACTAGAACTGTAACTAGAACTGAACTAGAACTGAACTAGAACTGGAACTAGAACTGAACTAGAACTGAACAGAACTGAACTAGAACTGAACTAGAACTGAACCTAGAACTGAACTAGAACTGAACTAGAACTGAACTAGAACTGAACTAGAACTGAACTAGAACTTGAACTAGAACTGAACTAGAACTGAACTAGAACTGAACTAGAACTGAACTAGAACTGAACTAGAACTGAACTAGAACTGAACTAGACTGAACTAGAACTGAACTAGAACTGACTAGAACTGAACTAGAACTGAACTAGAACTGAACTAGAACTGAACTAGAACTGAACTAGAACTGAACTAGAACTGAACTAGAACTGAACTAGAATTGAACTAGTTCAGGACTGAACAAGAACTGAACTAGAACTGGAACTGAAAATAAGAGTTATGTTAATAATAATAATGTTGATTCAGGTGTTGAGATAATATTGTGCAAATATTTTGTGTTTTATAACACACTGGGAAACATTTTAAAATTACTTCTTATAACCATCGACTTCTTTACCCATTGTGCATTATAAAGCCAAAAAATCAACACACTTTCATGGACCATACATACGATTGAGTACTTACTCATGCACACACAGTAGTAGTCTTGCATCAGATCTTGTTTTTCCCCACATTTTAAATGACAGCCACAGCTGTCAGGCCAGACCGACTGCATGTAATTAGAGAACTTATTTTCAGCGCAATTTTTAGAAAATGCTTTAATAGTTTCTGTAGAAAACAAATTTGCTTAATAGGGGTAAAATCCACACACAAAGTTTATGAAATAATAAATGCTTCCAACTGTTTGTGTCGTGAATGTTTGGTAAATAAATATAGAAAATATTATAGTTTATTGTCTAAACGTTTTATGTTCCATAACTATACATTTAGTTTGGTAATAAAATTATTAATAAATATGTTTTCTTAAATATTTTGTTTGCTATAGTTGCTCGAAAAACGTATAGAGAAATTCACCGAAACAACAACACAACAATTATTGATCTCAAATCCCGAAAGTGAATCGTATGTGAGAGATGAATTGAGAAAATTAAGTGATAAATGGCAACAGTTTAAGGATCAAGTTAAAAATAAACGCAAGTCACTAGATCAGGCAACAGATTTCTTTGAGATAATAGAGAAGGTAAGTTTATATTATATCTCTCTCGCTCTAATAAAATTCTTCTAAAAATATTTTTCCAATTTTCCAGATCGATGCTGAATACCATGAAATTAGTTACTTTTACAATAGTGTTTCCAATAAAATCACCTATTTACGTGATCCGGTAGAGGCCTCTAATCTAGTGAACGATATTGATCGTTATGTTAATGAACGTGAAGCTCCTTTGAGAGAAAATTAGACAATGCTGCTAAATGTTCTCATGACATGGGTAAGGTTTCTCAATTGTACAATGATGTCATGACGATTTTCCAATCGTTTATGAAACTTAAATCTGATATAACCATTGTACAAGAACGTCTTAAACATGAAGAACGTGCCAAAGAGCAGCGTGAGAAAGAGGCCAGAGAACAAGCTGAACGCGAGAAAGCGGCTCGTGAGGCAGAAGCACGTGAGGGAGCTGCTCGCGAAGAAGAAGCACGTCTACTAGCATTAAAAGAGCAAGCAGTACGTGAACAAATTGAACGCGAGAAAATGGCTCTCGAATTGGCAGCTCGCGAAAGAGCCATACGAGAAGAAGAGCAACGTTTAATGGCCGCCAAAGAGCAAGCAGCACGTGAACAAGCTGCTCGTGAATTTGCTGCCAGAGAAGCAGAAGAGGCTCGCTTAAGAGCTTTACGTGAAGAAGAGGCTCGTCTTCAGGCGGCACGTGAGCAGGCTCAACGAGAACAATTCGCTCGTGAGCAATTGGCACGCGAGGAGGAGCAAGCACGTCTTAAAGCCTTACGTGAAGAAGAAGCTCGTCTCCTGGCTTTGAGAGAACAAACCGTAAGAGAAGAAGAACAACGTTTACATCAATTGAGAGAACAAATAAGCGCGAAGAAGAAGCTCGCCAGCAGGCCTTTAAGGAGCAAATGAAACGTGAAGACGAGGCTCGTTTGCAGGCGGTACGTGATCAAATCGATCATCAACGTTTAGTCACCGAAAACATACGTAAAGATGTACAAATTAACCACATCTTTACCGAAATCAAATACTCTTCCCCCCAATTCACCAAACAGCTTAAAGATGCCGTTACACGTGAGAATGATAAATTCACTTTTGAATGTGAAGTTACTGGTAATCCCGAGCCCACGGTAGAGTGGTTTAAGGATGGAATTTCCATACAAAATAATCCCGATTATAAGACCAGTTTTAACAAGGGCATCTGTCGTTTGGTTATCGAAGAGACTTTCGCTGCAGATTCGGCTAGATTCACTTGTCGTGCTTCTAATTTGGTGGGTAATGCTGAAACCTCTGCCAATCTATCGGTACGTGAAAATGCTGCCGAGATCCAAATGATTGCTCCACGTATTGTACGTTTCTTGGAGAGTGGCAAGGCTAAGGAGGGTTCTTCTTATGAGTTCTCCTGTGTGGTCACCGGCAATCCCTTGCCAACTGTTCAGTGGTATAAAAACGATAAATGTATTGATGATTCACCCGATTATGTAATCAATTATAATAATGGTGAAGCAAAGTTGCGTTTCGAGGAAGTTTTCTTGGAAGATGATGCTGTTTACACTTGCAGTGCCTCCAATCCAGCGGGTATTGAACATTGTTCGGCTAGTTTGATTGTGGAACGTAAGTTTTTTTTGAAGGTTTTTGGGGAGTGATTTGAAAGTAATACATTTTGGATTTGGATTTTCTTTCTTTATAGCTTTGGAACCCACAGAAATGCCCCATTTCAAAATACCCCTCACCAATGCTATGGCTCGTGTGGGTCAAAAGATTAAATTGGAAGCTTTGATCGGTGGTATACCACGTCCCGATATCTATTGGTTACACAATGGCAAACCATTTTATCCCAGAGATATTAAGGTAAGTTTGATAAAGATTGATCAACTAATGCTAATTGTAAGCTGTTGTTCGACGGAAAGTCAAGAAGTTGGCAAATTGTGTAGTACGGTATAGACTATAGTACGTTATATTGATCAAACTATAGTCTGGAGTCCAGACTCTGAACTTATTCTCGACTATAGATTGGACTATAGTTCGAAATATATAATATAATCTGGACTATATACTAGAGTGTGGACTATAGATTCTACTATAGTCTGAATACAGACTATACAATATTCTATAGACTATACTATAGTCTGGACAATATACTATGATAAGTTCTGGACAGACTATGCTACTGTCTGGACTACAGGCAATAGTATAGTCTGTATCTAAGACTATACTATAGTCTGGATTCTAGGAAATATTAGACTATAACATATATCATAGTCTGGACTATAGACTACACTACAGTCTGGACAATTAGACTATATTACAGTCTGGACAACAGACTACAGACTATATTATAGTCTGCACTATGGACTATACTATAGTCTGCACAATGGACTATACTATAGTCTGGACTATAGACTATACTATAGTCTGGACTATAGATTATGCTATAGTCTGGACTATAGACTATACTATATATACTATAATCCAGACTATAGATTATACAATAGTCTGGACTATCGACTACACCATTGTGTGGAATATAGACAATATAATCTGGACTATAGACTGAACTATAGTCTGGACATTAGACTATGCTACAGTCTGGACTATAGACTATGCTATAGTCTGGACTATAGACTATGCTATAGTCTGGACTATAGACTATACTATAGTCTGGACTATAGACTATACTATAGTCTGGAGTATAGACTATAATATAGTCTGGACTATAGACTATACTATAGTTTGGACTATAGACTATATTATAGTCTGGACTATAGACCGAACTATAGTCTGGACTATAGACTGAACTATAGTCTGGACTATAGACTGAACTATAGTCTGGACTATAGACTGAACTATAGTCTGGACTATAGACTGAACTATAGTCTGGACTATAGACTGAACTATAGTCTGGACTATAGACTGAACTATAGTCTGGACCATAGACTATATTACAGTCTGAACTATGGGTAATACTGTAATCTGGACTATAGGCCAGATTACATTCTGGACTATGGACTATAGACTTATGTCCCGGACTAGAGATAATACTATATTATAGTCTGGTTTATAGACTATAATATAGTGTGGACTAGACTATAGTCTGGACAATATCCTATACTATAGTCTGGACTATAAAATTTACTATAGTCTGGACTACGGACTTGGCTAAAGTATTTTAAGTAGGAAACAGATATTCGTAATTTCGTAAAGTTTTATTTAATAATTTTTCTTAACTTTTGAGCTTTTTGCTCAAATTATCATAATACTAAATTAAAAATTATTTATTTATCTTTTATTAAAACCAAAAAAATAATAATAAAAAGTTTACATTTAACCAAAAAAATTAAAATACATAAAAACAAAGTTGACGTCAATTCCAAACAAAATCAAACCAACACAAAATAATTGTCCCAAATACACATTTGGTCTAAATTTTACGATAATATTTTATGACATTTTCAAGGAAAAACAAATATTTTGTTTAATAAAAAAAACTTTGGCAAATTAAATTAAATTAATGATTTAATAGACAACAGCACAAACTATTTAAATAACAATTTATAAACACTACTTAAGAATTTTATGGGTTTTTTAACTAATTGTATACTTATAAAGTGATAAATATTAAGAGGAATAAGTAGACACATAGAACTCTTGATGGATTCTGGATGTTAGAATGATATTGCTATAAGAGAGAAAGATACAGACCGAAAAAGATAGGAAGAATCAAATATATTTTACATAGTCCTTGACTATTTCACATCCTTTAAAAATCCTACAAAAGAAAATTTGCAAGACTCTATAACTGAGGTTCCCTAAATTTGCTAACAAAATCTGAAAAATTATTTATTAAACTAGCGGATGAAATAGTTTGTATTTTATATTATAATATAAAATTAAAATGTCACATCTATTGTGTACCATGAAAGAGAAAATTTCAGAATTATTTCTATGCTGCAAATACTATATCTACGCTCTGTAGAGGAGGTCTTGAAAATGAGGAGTAAAGATATATGCAGATAGACGTCATGTAATATTTGTGTCAAGTTAATTGAAATTAATTATTAATTACAGTATTTTCTTTATTTTCATTAAATCTTTTCGTTTGTTTTTGTTTTTACTACAATTTTTTTTTGTTAAAATGAAATATTAGTAAACAAATGGCTGATGATTAAATAAATAAGAATTGAGCAAATTAAATGGCAAGAGAGAATTTTGAAATGTCACTACTAACTATAGACTAGACTATAGACTAGACTATAGATTGGACTATAGACTAGACTATAGACTAGACTATAGATTGGACTATAGGACTAGACTATAGACTAGACTATAGACTAGACTATAGACTAGACTATAGACTAGACTATAGACTAGACTACTAGACTAGACTATAGACCAGACTATAGACTAGACTATAGACTAGACTATAGACTAGACTATAGACTAGAATATAGACTAGACTATAGACTAGACTATAGACCAGACTATAGACTAGACTATAGACTAGACTATAGACTAGACTATAGACTACACTATAGACTATACTATAGACTAGACTATAGACTAGACTATAGACTAGACTATAGACTAGACTATAGACTAGACTATAGACTAGACTATAGACTAGACTATAGACTAGACTATAGACTAGACTATAGACTAGACTATAGACTAGACTATAGACTAGACTATAGACTAGACTATAGACTAGACTATAGACTAGACTATAGACTAGACTATAGACTAGACTATAGACTAGACTATAGACTAGACTATAGACTAGACTATAGACTACACTGTAGACTAGACTATAGACTAGACTATAGACTAGACAATAGACTAGACTATAGACTAGACTATAGACTAGACTACAGACTAGACTATAGACTAGACTATAGATTAGACTATAGACTAGACTATAGACTAGACTGTAGACTAGACTGTAGGCTAGAATATAGACTAGGACTATAGACTAGACTATAGACTAGACTATAGACTATACTATAGACCAGACTATAGACTAGACTATAGACTAGACTATACACTAGACTATAGGCTAGACTATAGACTAGACTGTAGACTAGACTATAGACTAGACTATAGACTAGACTATAGACTAGACTATAGACTAGACTATAGACTAACTATAGACTAGACTATAGACTAGACTATAGACTAGACTACAATCTAGACTACAGACTAGACTAGACTAGACTATAGACTAGACTACAGACTAGACTATAGACTAGACTATAGACTAGACTATAGACTAGACTATAGACTAGACTATAGACTAGACTATAGACTAGACTATAGACTAGACTATAGACTAGACTATAGACTAGACTATAGACTAGACTATAGACTAGACTATAGGACTAGACCTATAGACTAGGACTATAGACTAGACTATAGACTAGACTATAGACTGGACTATAGACTAGACTATAGACTAGACTATAGACTAGACTAAGACTAGACTATAGACTAGACTATAGGACTAGACTATAGACTAGAACTATAGACTAGACTATAGACTAGACTATAGACTAGACTATAGACTAGACTATAGACTAGACTATAGACTAGACTATAGACTAGACTATAGACTAGACTATAGACTAGACTATAGACTAGACCTATAGACTAGACTATAGTCTAGTCTATATACTAGACTATAGACTAGACTATAGACTAGACTATAGACTAGACTATAGACTGACTATAGACTAGACTATAGACTAGACTATAGACTAGACTATAGCTAGGACTATAGACTAGACTATAGACTAGACTATAGACTAGACTATAGACTAGACTATAGACTAGACTATAGACTGACTATAGACTAGACTATAGACTAGACTATAGACTAGACTATAGACTAGACTATTGACTAGACTATAGACTAGACTGTAGACTAGACTATAGACTAGACTATAGACTAGACTATAGACTAGACTATTGACTAGACTATAGACTAGACTGTAGACTAGACTGTAGACTAGACTGTAGACTAGACTATAGACTAGACTATAGACTAGACTGTAGACTAGACTATAGACTAGACTATAGACTAGACTGTAGACTAGACTATAGACTAGACTGTAGACTAGACTATAGACTAGACTATAGACTAGACTGTAGACTAGACTATAGACTAGATTATAGACTAGACTATAGACTAGACTGTAGACTAGACTATAGACTAGACTATAGACTAGACTATAGACTAGACTATAGACTAGACTATAGACCAGACTATAGACTAGACTATAGACTAGACTATAGACTAGACTATAGACTAGACTATAGACTAGACTATAGACTAGACTATAAGACTAGACTAGAGATTAGACTATAGACTAGACTATAGACTAGACTATATACTAGACTATAGACTAGACTATAGACTAGACTATAGACTAGACTATAGACTAGACTGTAGACTAGACTGTAGACTAGACTATAGACTAGACTATAGACTAGACTGTAGACTAGATTATAGACTAGACTATGACTAGACTATAGACTTGACTATAGACTAGACTATAGACTAGCATATAGTCTAGCCTATTGTCTAGTCTATGGTTCTAGTCTGTATTGTGGTCAACAATCTAGTCTATAGTCTAGTCTATAGTCTACACTAGACTACCCTAGACTGACTAGACTAGACTATAGACTGACTCTAGACTAGACTATAGACTAGACTATAGAACTAGACTATAGACTAGACTATAGACTAGACTATAGACTAGACATAGACGACTATAGACTAGACTATAGACTAGACTATAGACTAGACTATAGACTAGACTATAGACTAGACTATAGACTAGACTATAGACTAGACTATAGACTAGACTATAGACTAGACTATAGACTAGACTATAGACTAGACTATAGACTAGACTATAGACTAGACTATAGACTAGACTATAGACTAGACTATAGACTAGACTATAGACTAGACTATAGACTAGACTATAGACTAGACTATAGACTAGACTATAGACTAGACTATAGACTAGACTATAGACTAGACTATAGACTAGACTATAGACTAGACTATAGACTAGACTATAGACTAGATTATAGACCACAATACAGACTAGACCATAGACTAGACAATAGGCTAGACTATATGCTAGACTGATATGTTCTAGACTAGACGTAGCATCTGACAAATAATATATGAGACCCAAATCTTTTGCAAATACCGTTAAACGATTTACTATAAAAATGAATTTTTTGGCAAATAAAGCGTTCGTGTGCCTTTTGACTATAGGATTTTATTTGTTTGCTGATGGTGTCTTCAATTTAATGGTGTAAGAATAATGATGATGATGATGTTGTTATTTGTTTTTCTGCAAAAATCTTTTTTTTTTAGCCTGGCGGCTGGTCGAGAGATCATCAAGATATTCGTGGGTGGTGTTCTTGTTCTTTTCTTCTTTTTGTTGCAGATTTCATTTTTTGTTTCAATTATTTTTTATCTCTTACATGAATGACCAATAAAATATTTCTACAATTTTCACCACAGATTTAATGTTGGCATTTTTTTTCGTGTTGGATACACAAGAGTGTTTGGATAAAAATGTCTTGTTTACTTATTATTTCTGATATGTTCTGATTTCGAATGAGTTTTGTATGTAAACATCTGAATTGTATATAATATACAAGTATTCAGATGTTTTGTATTTTGTTTAAAATTTTATTTTTGAAAAAAATTAAATTTTTGCATTAAATCTAAACCACATTTAAGAAAAAATTCTGAAATAAAAAACATCATTAAAATAGTTATTTTGTTTTCGGTGAATATAATTTGTTTGAAGATTTTTTTTGTTTATTTTAGATTGTATTGTAGGAAAATCGGAAATTTGTGAAAAGATACAGGGTGTTTAGGTTTTTGTGAAAATGAAATTTTTAATGAAAAATAAGAATTTTAGAAAAAACATTGGACTTATTAGTACAAAATTAACATTCTGAAGACTAGACTATAGTCTAGTCTATAGTCCAGACTATAGACTAGACTTTAGACTAGACTATAGACTAGACTATATACTAGACTATAGAATAGACTATAGACTAGACTATAGACTAGACTATAGACTAGACTATAGACTAGACTATAGACTAGACTATAGACTAGACTATAGACTAGACTATAGACTAGACTATAGACTAGACTATAGACTAGACTGTAGACGAGAATATAGACTAGACTATAGACTAGACTATAGACGAGAATATAGACTAGACTAGACTAGACTAGACTAGACTATAGAGACTAGACTATAGACTAGACTATAGACTAGACTATAGACTAGACTATAGACTAGACTATAGACTAGACTATAGACTAGACTATAGACTAGAACTTTAGACTAGACTATAGACTAGACTATAGTAGACTATAGACTATAGACTAGACTAGACTAGACTAGAACTATAGACTAGACTATAGACTAGACTATAGACTAGACTATAGACTAGACTATAGACTAGACTATAGACTAGACTATAGACTAGACTATAGACTAGACTATAGACTAGACTATAGACCTAGATATAGACTAGACTATAGACTAGACTATAGACTAGACTATGACTAGACCTAGACTAGACTAGACTAGATAGCTAGACTATAGACTAGACTATAGACTAGACTATAGGACTAGACTATAGACTAGACTATAGACTAGACTATAGACTAGACTATAGACTAGACTATAGACTAGACTATAGGACTAGACTATAGACTATAGACTAGACTATAGACTAGACTATAGACTAGACTATAGACTAGACTATAGAATAGACTATAGACTAGAACTATAGACTAGACTATAGACTAGACTATAGACTAGACTATAGACTAGACTATAGACTAGACTATAGACTAGACTATAGACTAGACTATAGACTAGACTATAGGACTAGACTATAGACTAGACTATAGACTAGACTATAGACTAGACTATAGACTAGACTATAGACTTAGACTATAGACTACTAACTAGACTAGACTATAGACTAGACTACAAACTAGACTACAAACTAGACTACAACTAGACTAGACTAGACTAGACTATAGACTAGACTATAGACTAGACTATAGACTAGACTATAGACTAGACTATAGACTAGACTATAGACTAGACTATAGACTAGACTATAGACTAGACTATAGACTAGACTATAGACTAGACTATAGACTAGACTAGACTAGACCTATAGACTAGACTAGACTAGACTTAGACTAGACTATAGACTAGACTATAGACTAGACTATAGACTAGACTATAGACTAGACTATAGACTAGACTATAGACTAGACTATAGACTAGACTATAGACTAGACTATAGACTAGACTAGACTAGACTATAGACTAGACTATAGACTAGACTATAGACTAGACTATAGACTAGACTATAGACTAGACTATAGACTAGACTATAGACTAGACTATAGACTAGACTATAGACTAGACTATAGACTAGACTATAGACTAGACTATAGACTAGACTATAGACTAGACTATAGACTAGACTATAGACTAGACTATAGACTAGACTATAGACTAGACTATAGACTAGACTATAGACTAGACTATAGACTAGACTATAGACTAGACTATAGACTAGACTATAGACTAGACTATAGACTAGACTATAGACTAGACTATAGACTAGACTATAGACTAGACTATAGACTAGACTATAGACTAGACTATAGACTAGGACTATAGACTAGACTATAGACTAGACTATAGACTAGACTATAGACTAGACTATAGACTAGATTATAGACTAGACTATAGACTAGACTATAGACTATAGACTATATTATAGACTAGACTATAGACTAGACTATGGACTAGACTATAGACTAGACTATAGACTAGACTATAGACTAGACTATAGACTAGACTATAGACTAAACTATAGACTAGAAAATATACTAGACTAATGACTATACTATATAATCTAGTACAGGAATCCCATATTTTAATAGACTAGACTATAGACTACACTATAAACTAAACTATAGACTACACTACAAAGTAGAATATAATATTCCACGAGACTATAGATTATAACTAGACTATAGACTAAACTATAGACTAGAAAATATACTAGACTAATCACTATACTATATAATGTAGTACAGGAATCCCATATTTTTAATATCCTACAAAGTCGTGGTACTATTTTAACATATTTCTACACCCTGTGCCTTCAAATGGGCAGTGTTCTCCTGACCCGCACCATAGCACTGCTGCTGCTCCACATGACTAAACATTATGCGAGTAATAACATTTGTTTTTTCCTTCACGCCACCGGATACATTCAAATCCCCATTAAAATACAAATTTTATTGTGTAAATAAATACACAAAACTACATACAAATGTACATATTTTTTCATAGATTTTTTTTTTGCAGCAAGAAATTAAAAATGAAAATCAGACAAATTATTCAAAATACAAGAAAAAAATTAAAAACAAAATTTTCAAAGAATAAATAAAAAATAATATACACTTACCATTTTCTATACTATCAATACATACAAATACTCACCACAGCCAACACATATACAGACACACTTGTAACTCATACATTCACATCCCTACTCCTACATCTAAACACTTGAATACAAATGTAAATAAATTTGTTTCAGATGCTGTTTATTTGAATATTTCACTTGATTTTTTCGTTTTCAAAACTCACCATTACTCACTGGTTTAAAATATTTTTTTTTGCAAATTATTTTCAGTATGAATACGGTCGTGTAACGGTTATAATCCCGCAAGCTTATCCCAAAGACGCCGGAGTTTATGTATTGACAGCTAAAAATTTAGCTGGTGAAGCTTATAGTTCGTGCAACGTAAACGTTAAAGGACGTCTGCCTAACGAGACATCCGATTCGGAAATGGCTTCCGATATGGATGTAGAACCCATCAAACCCTCTGTACAATTGGCCTTGAAAGATGTTTCGATATTCGAGGGCAAACCAGTGCGTTTGGACTGTGTTATTGTGGGCCAACCGGAGCCCGAGGTGATTTGGTATCATAACGATAGACCCGTGAAAGAATCGGCCGATGTACAGTTGCTGTTTCAGGGTGACAAGTGTTCGTTGATCATACAAGAAGTGTATCAAGAAGATGGTGGCAACTATAAGGTAGTGGCCATCAATTCGGCTGGTGAAGCCTCTAGTAGTTGTGAGCTGAAAGTGACCCCCTTGAATATAGCCGAACCGGCCACTAGGGCCCAATCGGAAAGACAATCGTTGGTCAAAGAATTGGAACCTAAATTTGAGAAATTCCTTAGTGATGTTTTGGTCGATGAAGGTGAAACTGTAGAAATGGAAGTAATGACTAGTGGTGATAAGCCCATGACAGCCAAATGGTTTTTAACCAATAAGGAATTAACCAACACCGATCGTTTCCTAATCGAATCCAATCCCAATGGTGGAGTCTTCAAATTAACCATCAAAAATGTTAACAACGATGACAAAGGAGTTTATACCGTGAAAGTGTGCAATAGTGCTGGTGAAGCTAAATGTTTCTCCCACTTGATTGTAAAGTCGGTGAATGCTCCCGAGAGCCAACGTACGCAACAAGTGGAGATTGTAGAACAAAAGACCTGTCCCGAGTTCAAGGAATTGTTCTCCGACAAAACTGCCAATTTGGAGGATTTGGTGAAATTCGAGTGTATTGTTAAAGGTAAACCCACTCCAAAGGTACATTGGTATTTCAATGATCAACCAGTGCATGGTCATAATTTCCTGGTTTCCACTAGTGGTGAACGGGAAGTTTTGACCATTCAAAAGGTAGGTCCCGATACCGTAGGCAAAGTAAGTTGTGTAGCTGAAAACGATGTGGGCAAGGCAACTTGTGTAGCATTTTTGGGTTTGGTCGGCTCTGGCCTAGAATGTATGCCGGCCCAGAGTAACATGCAAACCATGACTCAAGAACACAACACCGATTCGTCACGTGTCACCATTAAGAAGCAAACATACACAACCACTTCCACCTCACAAGTCAGTTCGTATGAGGGCAATATGCCTCAAACCGAAATTCACCATTCATCGGCTCATATCGATCAGTCATTGAAACAATTGGGTGCTCAACGTCCCGAAATTATGGAGTCACATCATTATCAGGAATTACACAAATCAAAAGATATGTCTTCACCGCATGTCCAACAGAAATCATTTGTACTTGTCCAATCGGCCGCGAATGGCTCCACTGCCTCAAACGCCATTGTACCCAGTTCGCCCACTCGTACACGTCGTGAAATTGCGCCTCGTTTTACTACCCCTCTAACTGGTAAGATTGTTGACCAGGGTGCTGATGTTAGTATGGAAGCCATTTATGACGGTTTTCCATCACCCGAAATTAAGGTCGAGAAAAATGGTGCCCAACTCTTTGACACTGATCGTTTAAAGATTGGCAATAAGTGTAATCGTGTTACCATCGATCTAAAAGAGGTTAATGTTGGCGATGCGGGTCGTTATGCTGTCACCGCCAGCAATACCATGGGTCAATCGACCAGTACAGCCGATTTAGTAGTCAAGAGTAAGTAGATTTTTTCTTTCATATGATTTATTTAAAAATTGCTTGTTTCGAATGTTAACAAAAGTGCAAATCAGACGCGTCGTGCAAGATGAACATTTGTTAAGTATGATATATGTATGTATGAGTGTAGCATTTTGCATTTTCAGTATGAGTTCATTGTCTAGAGATTTTGTTAAATCATTAATGTTTTGATCAGAATTTAATAGCTGATGTTCATAAGGGTGAAACTGTTTGCAAAACTGTGAACAAAATGAAAATACTGTGTATATTTAGTTCTGGTTTGTCCAATATTTGGGATAGAGTCGATAAATTAGCAAGGATATGTTTAGATCATATGAATGTGGATCATAAGGAGCTAAATTGGAATCAAAGTTATAGAAACGCTTAAGAATCGGTCGACAAACAAGAGATTTATAGAACATAAACTACACCATAATGCTAGACTATAGACTAGACTACTCACTAGACTATAGACTAGACTATAGACAAGACTATAGACTAGACTATAGACTAGACTATAGACTAGACTATAGACAAGACTATAGACTAGACTATAGACTAGACTATAGACTAGACTATAGACTAGACTATAGACTAGACTATAGACTAGACTATAGACTAGACTATAGACTAGACTATAGACTAGACTATAGACTAGACTATAGACTAGACTATAGACTAGACTAAAGACTATAGACTAGACTATAGACAAGAACTATAGACAAGACTATAGACTAGACTATAGACTAGACTATAGACCTAGACTATAGACTAGACTATAGACTAGACTATAGACTAGACTATAGACTAGACTATAGACTAGACTATAGACTAGACTATAGACTAGACTATAGACTAGACTATAGACTAGACTATAGACTAGACTATAGGACTAGACTATAGACTAGACTATAGACTAGACTATAGACTAGACTATAGACTAGACTATAGACTAGACTATAGACTAGACTATAGACTAGACTATAGACTAGACTATAGACTAGACTATAGACTAGACTATAGACTAGACTATAGACTAGACTATAGACTAGACTATAGACTAGACTATAGACTAGACTATAGACTAGACTATAGACTAGACTATAGACTAGACTATAGACTAGACTATAGACTAGACTATAGACTAGACTATAGACTAGACTATAGACTAGACTATAGACTAGACTATAGACTAGAACTATAGACTAGATATTAGACTAGACTATAGACTAGACTATAGACTAGACTATAGACTAGACTATAGACTAGACTATAGACTAGACTATAGACTAGACTATAGACTAGACTATAGACTAGACTATAGACTAGACTATAGACTAGACTATAGACTAGACTATAGACTAGACTATAGACTAGACTATAGACTAGACTATAGACTAGACTATAGACTAGACTATAGACTAGACTATAGACTAGACTATAGACTAGACTATAGACTAGACTAAGACTAGACTATAGACTAGACTATAGACTAGACTAGACTATAGACTAGACTATCGACCTAGACTATAGACAGACTATAGACTAGACTATAGACTAGACTATAGATAGACTATAGACTAGACTATAGACTAGACTATAGACTAGACTATAGACTAGGACTATAGACTAGACTATAGACTAGACTATAGACTAGACTATAGACTAGACTATAGACTAGACTATAAGACTAGGACTATAGACTAGACTATAGACTAGACTAAGACTATAGACTAGACTATAGAGTAGACTAGACTATAGACTAGACTATAGACTAGACTATAGACTAGACTATAGAAGACCTTAGACTAGACTATAGACTAGACTATAGACTAGACTATCGACTAGGACTATAGACAGACTAAGACAGACTATAGACTAGACTATAGACTAGACTATAGACTAGACTATAGACTAGACATGACTAGACTATAGACCTAGACTATAGACTAGACTATAGACAGACTATAGACTAGACTATAGACTAGACTAGAGACTAGACTATAGACTAGACTATAGATAGACTATAGACTAGACTATAGACTAGACTATAGACTAGACTATAGACTAGACTATAGACTAGACTATAGACTAGACTATAGACGAGACTATAGACTAGACTATAGACTAGAATATAGACTAGACTATAGACTAGACTATAGACTAGACATAGACTAGACTATAGACTAGACTATAGACTAGACTATAGACTAGACTAGACTATAGACTAGACTATAGACTAGACTATACCATAGATTAGACTATAGACTAGACTATAGACTGTAACGATTCTGTCATAAGGTGGTTTGTTTATGAGAACGATGCTACCTAATATTACGGCCGTGCTCGTCGGTGTGGGGGTGAGGTGTGTTCTCATATCAATAAAAAAATACTATAAATGAATCAATTACATAGACTTTACTTTAGGTAGCTACTTAAATAAATGATCCACAAAGACAAGAGATGAAGAAGATGCGGTAAAGGTATTAGTGTAGCTGTTGATGATATTTGCTACACTCTTCCAAAGCCCTCCCTCCATGCTGACAAATATTAGAGTTGATTGTCAGCCCAATAAAAATAAAAAAAAATTAACTAAATCAACCTAACCCATACCCTTGATTTAACTTTTCATGATAATAAAAAAAATTTATGATTTCATATTGAATATTATAATTATATATTGTAATATTTATTAAAATTAAATTATGATAATAATTAAGTAAAGTTGAAGTTAAATGAATTAGTTTACTTAAATTTTATTATCATAATTTAATTTTAATAAATATTACAATATATAATTATAATATAGTCTAGGCTATAGATTAGACTATAGACTAGACTATAGATTAGACTATAGACTAGACTATAGATTAGACTATAGACTAGATTATAGATTAGACTATAGACTAGACTATAGATTAGACTAGACTATAGACTAGACTATAGACCAGACTATAGATCAGACTATAGACTAGACTAGACTTTAGACTAGACTATAGACCAGACTATAGGCTACACCATAGACTATAGAGTGCAGTTTGTCTCTTTACATTATTCTAAAATATGTGAGACACGTGGCCACTTTAAATGTTGTTCTTCTCTGATCTCTATAAATCTAAACAAATTTCAAAGTAGTTTTACAAAAAAAGCGTATAATCAAATTTTGATCGCATATATCATAGAAATGCATAAAATTAAATGTCAAAAAATATTTACAATTGTGTAGTACAATGATCGCATGCAATGGTATTACAAAATAATGTAACATTTGTAAGAAAGAAAAAAAATTAAATGAAAATTTTTGGCAAACATTTTCATAAATATAAACAAAAATTAAAATTCGAAAACTTTTAAAATGTTTAAAATGCTATTCTAGTTTATGTGTTATTTATTTAATTTTTTTTTTTATAAAACTTGTCGATATATTCTTTATACAAAATGAAAATGACAATGATGATGATCGTGATTATCGTACTGTATTTTTTTTTAATGATGATGATGATGTTTTTGAAGGCATGTGTCCCTGACCAAGTGAATTCAAAGTTGATTTTTTTAAGAAAAAAAAGAAAAACAAATTTAATTTTAAAAATACTTTTTAAACAAAAAATCAATAAATGGAATATTAAGATGAAAATTAATTGACATTTAAACAAGAAAAAGCAATTGAAAGGAAATTTTAGAATTATGTAGAGAGGGATCTAAGGGGTTTGCGTTTTTGAAAAATATTTTTAGAAAAAATAAGAAATTATTTTAAGATTAACTTCTTATTATGATGTCATGTTAATTTCATTAACAAATATTTTCTTATGGGTTCAAAAGTTTCCATATTCCTCCCCTTTTGCAAACGATCCTGTTGAAATAATGTGTTACTGGAGCATGATGCTTTAGGTGGGCGTAGTTTTATTTAAAATTTAATTGAATATAATATTTTTTTATTCAGTTCAAATGTTTATTTTGGCAATTACAATACAAAAATATTTAATTGTTTATGTGTGTGCGTAATTTTCTTTTTTTATATTAAAATGTATAGGTGTTGTTTGATATGTGTTTTTTTTTCTTAATTTACTGGAAATTCAAATTAAAATAATTTTTGCTAATTATTTTTAGAAATTGTTATTAAAAATCTTATATGATTTATTTATTTATTTTTGCTAGAAAGAGAAAGTGTAATAAATAATTGTCTGTTAATTATACTTTTTGCACGTAATTTATAGACTCAAATAAACATGATCAATATTCATATATACATATGTATATATAGTATAAGTATAAACTGCTACATAGAGTGTATCCTAAATTATCTTCAAATACAGATGTTACCCAGATGTGTAATAAATATTTCACTTTAGACGGATTTGTGAAAATAAATTTTCTATTTGAATTCTTTTGAATGACAGTTTGTTTATGTTTTGCATATATTGCATTTAAGGTTTATTTCGACAGATTTGCGACCCGCTTTTTTTAAGCAATTGAACTGGATATTTCCTAGTGTCAAGTTTTTGACATTAATGTATACATCGATATGAATGATTGTTACTTGAAAGCAAACACATTTTTTTGGTAGTTGGGAATTGAAAGTGACTTCCTTGAATGTAGTCGAAGAGGTCTTTTAGGGTCCGACTGGGGTCGATTAAGTATTAATAAGTGTAGACAACCCCATGGCAGTAAAAAAATTACACAGATTAAATACAGGCTCAGGCTTTCTCAGGTTTGCAAGATATCGGGTCATAAAGATTAAAAAACCCGTTTTTATATACATATATACTTGACTACAGAAAAGACTATAGACTATGGACTAGACTATAGACTAAACAATAGACTAGACGATAGACTATAATATAGACTAGACTAGGACCAGACTATAGACTAGACTATAGACTAGACTATAGACTAGACTATAGACTAGACTATAGACTAGACTATTGACTAGACTATAGACTAGACTATAGACTAGACTATAGACTAGACTATAGACTAGACTATAGACTAGACTATAGACTAGACTATAGACTAGACTATAGACTAGACTATAGACTAGACTATAGACTAGACTATAGACTAGACTATAGACTAGACTATAGACTAGACTATAGACTAGACTATAGACTAGACTATAGACTAGACTATAGACTAGATTATAGACTAGATTATAGACTAGACTATAGACTAGACTATAGACTAGACTATAGACTAGACTATAGACTAGACTATAGACTAGACTATAGACTAGACTATAGACTAGACCATAGACTGGACTATAGACTAGACCTATAGACTAGACTATAGACTAGACTATAGACTAGACTATAGACTAGACTATAGACTAGACTATAGACTAGACTATAGACTAGACTATAGACTAGACTATAGACTAGACTATAGACTAGACTATAGACTAGACTATAGACTAGACTATAGACTAGACTATAGACTAGACTATAGACTAGACTATAGACTAGACTATAGACTAGACTATAGACTAGACTATAGACTAGACTATAGACTAGATATAGGACTAGACTATAGACTAGACTATAGACTAGACTATAGACTAGACTATAGACTAGACTATAGACTAGACTATAGACTAGACTATAGAACTAGACTATAGACTAGACTATAGACTAGACTATAGACTAGACTATAGACTAGACTATAGACTAGACTATAGACTAGACTATAGACTAGACTATAGACTAGACTATAGACTAGACTATAGACTAGACTATAGACTAGACTATAGACTAGACTATAGACTAGACTATAGACTAGACTATAGACTAGACTATAGACTAGACTATAGACTAGACTATAGACTAGACTATAGACTAGACTATAGACTAGACTATAGACTAGACTATAGACTAGACTATAGACTAGACTATAGACTAGACTATAGACTAGACTATAGACTAGACTATAGACTAGACTATAGACTAGACTATAGACTAGACTATAGACTAGACTATAGACTAGACTATAGACTAGACTATAGACTAGATTATAGGCTAGACTATAGACTAGACTATAGGCTAGACTATAGACTAGACTATAGACTAGACTATAGACTAGACTATAGGCTAGACTATAGACTAGACTAAAGATTAGACTATAGACTAGATTATAGACTAGACTATAGACTAGACTATAGACTAGACTATAGACTAGACTAAAGACTAGACTAAAGATTATAGACTAGACTATAGACTAGATTATAGACTAGACTATAGACTAGACTAAAGGCTAGACTATAGACAGGACTATCTACTAGATTCTCACAAAAAAATTTTTTTTTTGTGAAATTTACCGAAAAATTTTATTGAACAATTTTATTATTAATTTTAGTTCCATAACTCGCCTTACGAAACTAAACGCTTTCGCTTTTAAACAATTATTATTTAAAACTAGAGAGCTATTTTCCAACCCTTGCGCCTAATTGAAACGAAAAAATTATAAATCCCCAAACTAACCGTCAATATTTTGCCATTACAGAAACCATCTTCCCGCCCGTCTTCGGCAGACGTCTGCAAGCTCAAGTAGTTAAAAAGGGTGAAAAAATAATAATGGAAGTAGAGGTGACGGGTTTGCCCGAACCCACAGTGGTTTGGATGAAAGATGAAAAACCTTTGAATGAATCGGGTCTGTCACAACATAGACTACTAACACAAGGCAATACGCATAAATTGATCATCGAAAAGGGTAAGTAGGCAGGAACTTTTGAATTGAAAGATTTCTTAAATTTATTTTATTTATGATTAGGACAAGTTAGCGATTCGGGCAAATACATGGTTAAGGCCACCAATGCGGGCGGCGAAGCCAAAAGTATTGCCGATTGCGCTGTCTTGGAGCCCACACCGGAACGTATGCAAGAAGTGGTGAAGACCATTGTCTATGAGACGCCCAGTGAATTTAAATCTGAAGTAAGTTTGCATGTGAATATTAGAAAATGAGATATCATTACAAGACAGATTGATTGGTTTTAAAGACATTTTTAAATTTATTATATTTTTTTATTTATTTATTTAATTATTTATTTATTACCCTTTTTTATCCCCTTTTTTTATGAAATATCCCAATTTTTTATTTGATAAATGCATTTGTATTTATTTTTTATGAATTTATTTTATTTTTATATTTATGATATTTTATTTATATTTTATTTAATTTTTTTTAATAATTATTTTAAAATTGTAATGATTTTTTATATATTTTACTTGAATACATTTTTTTAAATTAAACTTTATTTTGTACAACTTTTTCTTTATTTTCATAAATTCTTTTTGAAAAAAAAACCACGCGCCTTCTTGTTCAATTATGACAAAAAAACTCTACAATTTTTGAACTTTAAACAAAATGCAAAATTAAACGCTTAAATTATTTATTTGAAAAAAAAAAAAATATATATATATTTAAATAATTTGGGGAATTGCCTTAATAAATATTTAATGGAATTATTTAATGCCTCATCTTTGTTTTTTCAATGCTTCCATCTTTGTTTGAAAACAATTCAAATTTCATTCCTACATTCCAAAAAAATATATATATAAAATGTGATTGTATTGTGATTGTCCTTGTACTACCAATACTACAACTGTCATCTCCAAAATAACCAACAAAAATATTACAATTACAACAACTTACTACTACTCCAACAACACTTTATAGACGCTTGCCAAAGAACCACAGTCGTTCGAAACCCAACAATCTGAAATAACCACCTCCAACGATTTGCATGGCTTATCTGAGTCAAAGATCATAACTGAGCATCGTTGCACTACCGAGGCAACCATGCGTCTAGAACACAAATCCGCCTACTTAGATTTGCCCGAATTACAACAACGTACTAGCAACAACAACACCACTTCAACAGTTCCCACACAAAACGAGATTAAAACTATACCAACAACAACAACAGCAACTAGCACCAACCAATACACTACTACCAACATCCCCATTAACCAGGATGTAACTGATTTCAGTCATCAGTTGGAACAATTAAAATCACTTTCATCCAATTTTGAAAATATGCAGACCAAGATTGGTTATACACAAACCCCACCACCAGTACCACCTAAACCTTATCCACCAGTAACTGCCACTATAGTACCGCCCGTTAATGAAAGCTACAACACCAGCTTCATGAACTCAACCTCAACCAGCAGCGAAAAGAAATCCTCTTCCTTTGAGTATTTCAAAAAAATCGATGAGGTTATTAAGGAAACACCCAAAGAGGAACAAAAGTTTGACCACAAACCCTTAAAGGTGGAAACAAAGAAACCTTCCTTCAATTTGGCAGAAGATTTGAAAAATTTGAATCTGATACCGGGTTCGCCACCCGAAATTTGTTTCATAGCCGATGGCTCTAAACCCAACAAACCCTCTTTAAATGATAAAATACAAAAACTAGAAGAAAGACAATTGAGCGGTAAAGAGCCTCCTCATGGTGGTATCTCTATATTTCCACCTCAGACACCCACTAAGGCTGCCAACACAGCTCCTACATTTGCTCCCAATATGCCTTTGGCTTCGGAGACCTATAGTCATGATACTACTCTAACGAAATCGGTAAAGGTGGAATATGGCCAACCGATCATGAGACCTGCTGCCACTTTACCCACACCAGCCCAACAATTTACACGTTCGCCTTCTCCAAAACCCTCTGCAGAGGGTTTGGCTATGTCTAAACTCTGGACTCCCAATCATGTAAGTGGTTATGAAAGTTGCACCAGTGAGTTAGAACAATATAATGATACGAAATCCCAAAAGCATGAAATTAAAGAGATAAAAATACAAAAATTACCCACACCCACGCAAGAGCTAAGTGCTCCCTTCCTAGTCAAGCAGGTAACACAATCGATACCCATACCCCAAGCACCCAGAAGTAAAACACCCATTGATGGTGTCGAACTAAAACCAGGAACTCCACCAGAAATTTGTTTTGCTGGACAACCAGAACAAAGGCGTCAATCTCTAGTCGAAACTATGGAAAGAACCCTAGAACAAAATCTCATACAAGGAGGACCCTCTAGGGTTTTACCACATTCAGTGCCCACCATAACACCTCAAAGCACGAAAGCCCACTACAAACCTCCACCACCCGTGGTACCTCCTAAACTGCAAACACCTCGTGGTGAATACTATGAAAGTGATTATGAAAGCGATCGTTGGAAGTATAGTGGCAGTGAATCGGATGAAAATACATTGCGTCCCGCTTTGAAACCCCATCAGGGTGCTTTCAAAACCAATGGTTATGCTGCCGATACTGAAGAAATATCCAGTTTTTCTAAAATGGAATCTTCCATGATGGAAAAGAAATCCTATTATGAAAGTTCCTCCACTTCAAATGCTACGGGTCCTGGTCTCGAGCAGCAACCCCCAGCCCAACTTTACTTTAGCTCCTCGAATGCCAGCCATCATAATGGTCCCGATAAACAGGAATCATTTGCTTCGCAAGAAAATAAATATCATCATGAGGATAAGGTTCGCTTAAAAAGAATAACTAAAAAAATTTTGAATAAAAAAATCAATTCAAAATTCCTTGTCCTTTTAAATGTCTGCAATTAATTCTGTAAAGTAGCACTAAAAACCTTATTATCGTATCGTAGTGTCGTATTTGTGTTCGAAAAAATTTTTTTGGAAGTCGTTAGCAAATCAAAGCTTTTTGTTTATTTATCTTTAACTTGTATCTAATTGTATAGTTTGTTCACTTTTGAAATGTTTTATAAAAAAAAAAGCTCGTAATTGTTAAATTTTTCGAATCAAACATTTGTCAGTTACGAGTGTTTAGTTAACCATCGCTATGTTGATGTTGTTGTTAAAAAGCTGTGTTGAAATTTTCATTTGAAATTTAATTCTGCCACGTTCCTGTAAATTAGCACTAATCCTTTCATTTATTCATTTCATAGAGCATTTTTTTATTAATCTTTCAATTTGCCCACTTACTCATTTATTTCTAAAGTATGCATTTTAGTTAATAATATGTAAAATTGTTCAAATTAGTTTTTAAGTTTTTGTTGTTCTGTTTTATATGTTAAAGTTTAAATTAAGGTTCTAGAGTTGCAAGCTATAAAGACCTTACATTATCGATTACACGATTATCAGGCTCCGATCGAATAATTCAAAAAGACACCTTTATTATTTAGATTATTTAGAATAGAACTGAACTAGTACTGAACTAGTACTGAACTAGAACTAAACTAGAACTGAACTAGAACTGAACTAGAACTGAACTAGAACTGAACTAGAACTGAACTAGAACTGAACTAGAACTGAACTAGAACTGAACTAGAACTGAACTAGAACTGAACTAGAACTGAACTAGAACTGAACTAGAACTGAACTAGAACTGAACTAGAACTCAACTAGAACTGAACTAGAACTGAACTAGAACTGAACTAGAACTGAACTAGAACTGAACTAGAACTGAATTAGAACTGAATTAGAACTGAACTAGAACTGAACTAGAACTGAACTAGAACTGAACTAGAACTGAACTAGAACTGAACTAGAACTGAACTAGAACTGAACTAGAACTGAACTAGAACTGAACTAGAACTGAACTAGAACTGAACTAGAACTGAGCTAGAACTGAACTAGAACTGAACTAGAACTGAACTAGAACTGAACTAGAACTGCACTAGAACTGAACTAGAACTGAACTAGAACTGAACTAGAACTAGAACTGAACTAGAACTGAACTAGAACTGAACTAGAGCTGAACTAGAACTGAACTAGAACTGAACTAGAACTGAACTAGAACTGAACTAGAACTGAACTAGAACTGAACTAGAACTGAACTAGAACTGAACTAGAACTGAACTAGAACTGAATTAGAACTGAATTAGAACTGAACTAGAACTGAACTAGAACTGAACTAGAACTGAACTAGAACTGAACTAGAACTGAACTAGAACTGAACTAGAACTGAACTAGAACTGAACTAGAACTGAACTAGAACTGAACTAGAACTGAACTAGAACTGAACTAGAACTGAACTAGAACTGAGCTAGAACTGAACTAGAACTGAACTAGAACTGAACTAGAACTGAACTAGAACTGAACTAGAACTGAACTAGAACTGAACTAGAACTGATCTAGAACTGATCTAGAACTGAACTAGAACTGAACTAGAACTGAACTAGAACTGAACTAGAACTGAACTAGAACTGAACTAGAACTGAACTAGAACTAAACTAGAATTGAACTAGAACTGAACTAGAACTGAACTGAACTAGAACTCAACTAGAACTGAACTAGAACTGAACTAGAACTGAAGTAGAACTGAACTAGAACTGAACTAGAACTGAACTAGAACTGAACTAGAAGAAGAACTGAACTAGAACTGAACAAGAACTCAACTAGAGCTGCACTAGAAGTGAACTAGAAGTGAAAATAGAAGCTTAGTAGTTGTTAAAAATCCCATAAATCTTTTTATTAAATACAATTTTGAATTTATTTCTTTGCCCCTAAATCATTAATAGTAGTATCCGATAATATCCTATGTAGCAATAAGTAGAGAGTTAGTTCTTTAAAATCTAAATTTTGCAAAAGAATTTTTCAGCTCATAGCTCATAGAAAAAACGCTTAATTTTGAACTCTAAAACTTTGTACCAGGCATGTATGTTTAAGTTCTATTAAAAAATACTTATGTTAAATTTAATCCTAAATGTTAAACACTTGTTCTTAAGCCACTAATTTTATAACAAAAGCCATTGTTCGTATGTTCTTTGAAAAAAGATATCCATTAAAATTTCTTCCACTAATTAAAATTTATTGCTTTCCTTCCCTTAGGATTATAAGGTTACATCGATGACCAAAAATATTGCCTACAATATGTCGTCGTCATCCACGACTGGACCCAAATTCCAGTCGACACCTATTAAAGCACCAGTAGCACCTAGTCCTATACCAGTGCAACGTAAGACACCAGCAGAATTCAGTGACTATAGCAGTGAAATTGATGAACGCTTCCGTTCTGTGTCACGCAATTGTGAGTCAGAGAGTGAAATTAAGGGCTATCGTGTAGTATTTCCACCTACACCAGTACCCAAGACGAATGGTCACAAATCGCCTGTAGTGGTGGTAACACCCTCACCCATGGAATTTGAGTCCGTGGCACCAAAACCCAAGTTTGAACCCATTAGACAAGAGCAAACAAGGCATGAGGTTAAAACCGAAACTAGTAAGCAATTTTATAGCTCTAAACAGCAACAACAACAGCAGCAAACCCAGCAAGTTTTCAAGCCTAAACCAGTAGCTGCTAAGTTCTTGGCTGCCGCCCAACAGCAACAAACACCTCCACCACCACAGCCTCAATTTAGGCCACAGCCCCAATATCAGCAACCTGCACCTAGTGCCCAACCTACCATGTATTACAATGCCATAGCTGGAACTCCTTTGCATATGGCCAAAATGGCTACTGAAACCAAGAATGTTATGCAAATGAAAGAGTCCTCCGAGACCTGTCAACGTGTGGTGAATATGCAACAAACCAAACGCGTTATACACTTCGATTCCCAAAAGGAAGAGTCTTCCTCACACATGCACAGCTATGGTCAGCAGCCTCAGCAGCAGCAGCCAGCCCAATTGGAACCTTTCCCTTATAGTCCCACACCATCACCACGCTGTACCCCAGCTCGTCAACGTGTACCACCACCTCCAACGCCCACAAAGTTCGTACCCGGTGACTTTAGAGAATCTGATTATGATAGTGAAATTGAGAGTGCTAAAATTGCACCCCTCTGGACTCCCATGGGTGAACAGGGTCCTCTACGTTTTCGTCATGTAGAACCACCACGTCCTGGTCGTTCCTGCAGTCTGCCACGTTCCTATGAACGAGTACTCTCACCCATGGAATTTGATCGTGGTCCTGAAATGCCCTCCAAAATTCAGGTAGATGTTAATGCTTTGCGCCAACAACGTGGCAGTAGTGTCAATCCTCGCACCCAATCTCTTAGTCGCCACTCGTCTATGCGCTCCAATCAACAGAACTATCAATCCACTCTGTACGAACAAGAGCAACAACAAAACTTTTCTCGTGATGATATGAATCTCAAAGTGGGTTCTCCACCCCGTTACGGTTATATACAATCTCAGGCCGAGGAGCAGGCTAAGACTATGAGTTCCACTTTTATGCAAAAGTCACACAAGTTTGTCGAAGATGTTCAAGAAGATCTACACAAGATGAGCAAAACGACTCTGGTTAATGGATCCTCCACCGAGCCACGCGTTATTACACACAGTTTTAGACCCGGTTTTAAGAGAGCACCCAGTGAGGGTGACAACAAGCCTCAGGCCTATCGTGATGAGTCCAGAGTTTCACAATACGGTAAGTTTGAAATAAAAAATAAAAAATAAAAAGTTTTGAGTAAAATCAGAGGTCTCATAGTTAACTAAAACTGTGTTGTCTTCATTTCAAGACCCTTAATGGTCAAAATTTTTATTTTTTGTTTAAAAATTTCCTTAGTTTGCTTGTTTTTAGTTTCTTTTTTATTCCAAATATCTCTTAATTTAACCCATTAGTTTGCTTTAGTTTCCTTAACTTAAGTTTTAATTTTAAGTTTATCTTTCTTAATTCAATGTCTACCTTTGTCCTTTTCCCCCCGATTTTTTATGTTAAAACCAGGTACGAAATGTGTTGATCCCAATACCGGTTTAATTTACTTTAAATATGATTTCGGTTATGAATTCGGTATATTATTCCCCGGCGAGGGTCACAAATTTGTGGCCAACAAATGGAATAGCTCGCAGTCATCATTACCCCCGACTACCTCGCAACAGTTAAAACAAACGGGTCGTAAGTCACCTTATCCCCTACCAGGTGGCCGTGATTTAGTTATACCCGTTCGTCATGAACGTTCCACAACCTCAACACCGACCCCTTTATATAGCTCACAGTCGGGTAGCGGTGGCTATTATTCAGATACAGAAACCACCAAACACACTAGAGGTCCTTCGTATAAGATGACCTCACCGAATGTTTCTTCTTCTTTTGCCATGAATAGACTTAAGAAACGTTATAGTCTACCCAATACCCAGGTGATCGATATCAATATCGATCGTCTTCATTCAAATGGTTCGCTACATAATTTACATCGTTTACCTTATCCAGGTGCGAAATGATTTGAAAGTGTCTTCGTTTTTTTTTTTTTGTTGTAATGTTTGTAAAATTTAATGTTGTAATTTGATGTTGTGTTTTAAATAATTCTAGTTTTTTTTATGTTTCTTTCCAAGGTTTGATCAAGCTTGACTTTGAAGCTTTCATTGAAATAATTTCATTTGTTTAATAAAATATTAAAAAAAGTATAAATAGTGGATCATATGAAGCTTTCAGCTCCCTTCTTCTACTCCTGTTTAATATCTATTCAAAAGCTTTCGAATTTCTGAAAATGCTTTCACTTAGTTTCATCATAAATTTTTACTGTCCCCTTCAGTCATCATCGATCAAATAATATCATTAAAAGTTTGGAAGTTCATTTTAATATCAGTCTTTGGCAACATGTTGCTTCTTTAAGCCGATTTGAAACAAAGTTTTAGACACAGAATTTTTTTAAATACAAAGTTTTATATAGGAAAAAGTGTTGTACACAAAGTTTTCTATTGAAAAATGTGTTATACACTAAATTTTCATTAGAAAAATGTATTATAGACAAAAAAAATTCTTTAGAAAAAGTGTTATACACAAAAGTTTCTATAGAAAAAAGTGTTATTCAAAACATTTTTTTAGAAAAAGTGTTATACACAAAATTTTCTATAGAAAAAAGTGTTATATACAAAATTTTCTATAGCAAAAAGTGTTATACACAAAATCTTTTACTAGAAAAAGTGTTATACACAAAATTTTCCATAGAGACAAGTAATATACACCAATTTTTCTATAGAAAAAAGTGTTATAAAAAAAGTTTTAAATACAAAAATTTTCTATAGAGATTTTCCAAATATTTTTTATAAAAAATGTTTTATACACAAATTTTTCTATAGAAAAAACTGTTATACAAAAAATTTTTTATAGAAAAAGTGTTATACACAAAATTTTCCATAGAGACAAGTAATATACACCAATTTTTCTATAGAAAAAAGTGTTATAAAAAAGTTTTAAATACAAAAATTTTCTATAGAGATTTTCCAAATATTTTTTATAAAAAATGTTTTATACACAAATTTTTCTATTCTATAGAATGTTATACAAAAAATTTTTTATAGAAAAAGTGTTATACACAAAATTTTCTATAGAATAAAGTGTTGTACACAAAATTTTCTATATAAAAAAGTGCTTTACACAAAATTTTCTATAGAAAAAAAGTGTTATACACAAAATTTTCTATAGAAAATGTGTGATACACAAACTGTTCTATAGCAAAAAGTGTTATACACAAAATTTTATATAGAGAAAAGTGGTATACACAAAATTATCTATAGAGAAAAGTGTTATACACAAAACTTTTTATAGAAAATATCGTTATATACAAAATTTTCTATGAAAAAAAAACTTATTGTAGAAAAAAAGTGTTATACACAAAATATTTTCTATAGAAAAAAGTGTTATACATAAAAATTTCCATAGAAAATAATGTTATACAAAATATTTTCTATAAAAAAAATTTTTATACACAAATTTTTCTATAGAAAAAAGTGTTATACACAAAATTTTCTATATAAAAAAGTATTATACACAAAATTTTCTATAGAAAAAGTGTTATACACAAAATTTTCTGTAGAAAAAAGTAAGATTTTCTATAGAAAAAAAGTGTTATACACAAAATTTTCTGTAGAAAAAAGTGTTATACACAAAATTTTCTATAGAAAACGTGTGATACAAAATTTTCTATAGAAAAAGTGTTATACACAAAACTTTTTATAGAAAATATTGTAGAAAAAAGTGTTATACAAAAAATATTTTCTATAAAAAAGTGTTATACATAAAAATTTCTATAGAAAATAATGTTATACAAAATATTTTCTATAAAAAAAAGTTTTAAACACAAATTTTCCTATAAAAAATCTGTTATACACAAAATTTTCTATAGAAAAAAGTGTAATACACAAATTTTTCTATATAAAAATACTGTTATACTCTAACTTTTCTATAAGAAATACAGTACTTCTTTTAAGAAAACATTTAAAAAAATATGTTCCGATCACCTTGAAACAAATTGACAGACAGTCGTCATGAATCAACTAAAATTTCAGATTGTTAAAACTAATTTTATGTTTTTTGTCACAAAATAAAAATTTGCTCAATTTCAAGACTTTTGTGATTTTTTACGAAATATTTAAAAAAAAATTTTTGAAAAATTAAATTTGTTAATGAATTTATGCAAGATAATAGAAAAAAATTATCTTTCATTACTAAATTTGTGTGCGTGTTTTTTGTAACATATCTTTAGGCCGTATTAAAATTATAAAAATATTAGCATAATTTTAGGCAACAATAAAAATTTAAACATAAATCTAAAATTATTTAGGAACGTAAAATTTAAAACAAATCCCATTAACCGTTTGTAAATGACATCAATAACATCTTCTTAAGCTAAATCAAAGGCATTATGACAAACATTTGAAAAATTTGCATGATTTACTGTTGTTGTTTAAAAAAATTATTAAATCTAGTTAATAAGTTTATAAATTAAGAAAAAAATAACTTAGAAAAAAACAAATAAATGTTGCATGTTTAAGTGTTTTAAAAAAAAGTGTTTATAATGACAAAATGCCTGCTTTCATAAAACTATTAAAAGGTTAAAAAATTATGTATTTGCAACATAATTTGAATACCTTTAATGTTTAAAGAAAAAAACAATAATCTGCTTGCTGCTCGCTGTAAGTGTTTGTGTTTTTGTTAAATAATTTTTCAAACTTATTTGTGTTAAAAATTATGTCATTAATATTACGAAATTATCGCAGCAGATCTACCACAAGATGTACCAGTTAATGCACATTTAAATCGCGATGATTATCCCCAAAAACCACCCATGTTTATAACGGTAAGTTTGATAGTCAATAACACTAATCAAAGGAAAATTGTTAAAATATAATTGAAACCCCACAGCCTCTTAAGGATAGAGCGGTGGTAGCTGGTCAACAGGCCCGTTTCGAATGCATTGTCCAGTGTCATCCTCAGCCCCAGGTTATGTGGAATAAGAACGGTTACGATTTGGAAAGTAGTAATAAACATATTTTAGAGTATAGAAATGGCGTATGTCGTCTAACTATACCACAAGCATATCCAGGTAAGATTTTTCTAAAATTTCCACTTTCTGAGGGTTTTAATCACAAATTATGTTTTTGTTTTACATTTTCTTTAGATGATGCTGGTACTTACTCTTGTTGTGCTTCAAATCCCTTGGGCACTGCTACCACTACCGGGTCTCTAGAAGTAACTGGCAAATATAATGCTGGTCAACGTTTTTAAGAAAAAAAAAACATATACAAGTTTTCATTTTCTTGCTTTAAGTTAGAATTATTGTTAAATTTAAATTATTACTCGCCGAAATGTTGGTTAAAAGGGACATTTTTGTTAACAAAACTAAAATGTTGAGAAACAATGAAAAAAACTATATAGAATAACTTTCTTACGAATATTATTACAACAAATAATGCAGGAGCTTTAAGCTTTGTAATTCAAGGAAAATGTTTCTAAACAAAAATTATATGCAACATGTTGTAAATCTCATGTTTCTTTTAAAATGTTGCAAACAAAACTTTGTAAAAAGCTAAAAAACTATTGATGCAGTGTAGAAAACATTTCAATCTAATATTCATTTTTACTTCAACAATAGTGAATTATAGTTTTTTTTCATTAGCAACATGTTGCTACAGTTCTGATTGAGGACAAATAGCTATTGTAATATGTTGCTATAAGTTGCAAAAGTCAGGTTTACAGGCAAGTAAAACTAAATTTTGTTAAAGAAAGTTTCTGATAAAGATTTGCCAAATAAACTCAATTAGTCTAGTCATCAACATGTTGCTGATAAGTTTGTGTAGAGTAATGTAAACATGTTGCTTAAATCGGTATAGCCAACAACATATAGGACATTGACATTAGTAGTTGAAACACAAAACCTGTTAGAAATTATATAAAAATCATCAATATTAGTCTATCACACTCAAGTGCAACATTGTTTCTCAACATTGTATCTCCTTAATCATATGTCACCCTTTAAACCAATAATTTTTAAAACATTTTTTTTTCTAACCCCCATAAATGTTTCTAGTGTTTTCTTCTCTCTTTTCTTTTAATTTAAATTTTTATTTAATTGTTTATTATTTCCAAAACAATTTAACCATTTAACCTTAATATTATACTATAACCCCCAGTCGTGCAATTTTGTTCTATTATATTTATAACTATCAAACGAATCTTAGGTCCCTTTAATATTTTTGGACTTAACTAAAGAAAAGTAAAAAACGAACATTTTAAAATGTTTTATTAATGCTTTATAAATCAATATTATTTAATGAAAACCAAACCAAAAAACAACAACGATGTTCATTAATTTTAATCATTATTCTATTATAGTATTACTTGTGTTTTTAACTAAAAATTAAAAATATTTCATTCTTTATTATATATTTTATTTAATTTCTTGTGCATTATTTTCAAATAAAGGTATTCAAACGATATTATTTATTAATTTTTGTTTTTTGTTCAAAGGGATTTTTTTTCTAAACTTTCTACATTTATAATATCTTTACGGACGTAGACGTAATATCTATTTACTGCACATTGCGTATACGTCACATACATATGTATGTATGTTAGACCGACTCATCCTGTATGAAAAACGTTTTTGTTTTGTGCTATTGTTCCCCTCTCAAAATTGTATGTATATATAATACACTTTTTCAAACAATTAGTAATAATCTAGATAGAGGGGGAGGAAAGGTTCGACCATAGTAATCCCTACACCAATTACTATCATATTTTAAATATGCATCATTTGTTGCAATAAAGCATATATCTTAAATTTTACCTTAATTCAGTTATATACAGGCAATTTTTTAATGGGAAACCTTTTGTTCGAAAGAGGCTTCATATGAGATCCTTGTAAAATTTTATGGAGGGATTTATGATTTTGTTACAGGTAATTATAGGAAATATAGGACACTTTTTATTTCGAAATATTAAGTAGGCGAGAAGCCATGCCCATGTACAAAATATTACACTAAAGACTGGATTATACTATAAACTAGACTACAGACAAGACTATACTATAGATTAGACTATAGACTAGACTATATACTAGACTAGACTATAGAGTAGACTAGACTATAGATTAGACTATAGACTAGACTATAGACTAGACTATAGACTAGACTATAGACTAGACTATAGACTAGACTATAGACTAGACTATAGACTAGACTATAGACTAGACTATAGACTAGACTATAGACTAGACTATAGACTAGACTATAGACTAGACTATAGACTAGACTATAGACTAGACTATAGACTAGACTATAGACTAGACTATAGACTAGACTATAGACTAGACTATAGACTAGACTATAGACTAGACTATAGACTAGACTATAGACTAGACTATAGACTAGACTATAGACTAGACTATAGACTAGACTATAGACTAGACTATAGACTAGACTATAGACTAGACTATAGACTAGACTATAGACTAGACTATAGACTAGACTATAGACTAGACTATAGACTAGATATAGACTAGACTATAGACTAGACTATAGACTAGACATAGACTAGACTATAGACTAGACTATAGACTAGACTATAGACTAGACTATAGGACTAGACTATAGACTAGACTATAGACTAGACTATAGACTAGACTATAGACTAGGACTATAGACTAGACTATAGACTAGACTATAGACTAGACTATAGACTAGACTATAGACTAGACTATAGACTAGACTATAGACTAGACTATAGACTAGACTATAGACTAGACTATAGACTAGACTATAGACTAGACTATAGACTAGACTATAGACTAGACTATAGACTAGACTATAGACTAGACTATAGACTAGACTATAGACTAGACTATAGACTAGACTATAGACTAGACTATAGACTAGACTATAGACTAGACTATAGACTAGACTATAGACTAGACTATAGACTAGACTATAGACTAGACTATAGACTAGACTATAGACTAGACTATAGACTAGACTATAGACTAGACTATAGACTAGACTATAGACTAGACTATAGACTAGACTATAGACTAGACTATAGACTAGACTATAGACTAGACTATAGACTAGACTATAGACTAGACTATAGACTAGACTATAGACTAGACTATAGACTAGACTATAGACTAGACTATAGACTAGACTATAGACTAGACTATAGACTAGACTATAGACTAGACTATAGACTAGACTATAGACTAGACTATAGACTAGACTATAGACTAGACTATAGACTAGACTATAGACTAGACTATAGACTAGACTATAGACTAGACTATAGACTAGACTATATAGACTATAGACTAGACTATAGACTAGACTATAGACTAGACTATAGACTAGACTATAGACTAGACTATAGACTAGACTATAGACTAGACTATAGACTAGACTATAGACTAGACTATAGACTAGACTATAGACTTGTTTCTTTTTTTCAGCAGAAGTGATCTTTTGCTGATCTTATAAAACTTTAAACGTACACTTACATATTTTCCAAATTATTTCATACAAACAGCCTGCCATCTTTTGAAAAAACCTAACAAACATAACAAACAAATTTCTAATGTTAAATTAACAATAGAGGGAGCCACTTTGTTTAAAAACTAAATGAAAAAGATCAATTCTAACAAAAAAGTACAAATATTTTCAACACACTTATTCAAAAAAAAGAGCTTTTAAGTGTAAAACAAAATATTTATTTTGGCAAGTTTCCAAAAGACATTATTTCGTTAAAAGCCATTTAAGAAAAAAAAAAAACATCTTAAAGATAAATAAAGAAAAAGACAGACGGACAATTGTTGACACAAGAAAATATTTTCAAAAATTAAAAATAATTTTAACCAAATTTTTTCAAAAACAATTGTTTATTATACAAAAAAAAAAAAAAGAACAAAGACTGGAAGAGTATGTAACAAATGGCATAACATCAATGTTTTAACAGAAAAACAGGAATTTTTATTTTGATCAAAAATTGATTGAGTAGTGATGGTTAATTGATTTTAAACTTTGAAATAATATTGTAGGCGATTTCCTGATTATTTTTTTTTGAGGTCTAGCAATTTGCTTTAATTTTCACAAAATTTTGGTTTTAATGAAATTTCCCTGTGGGTGGGGTTTCAAGTGAAAATAAACAATTTCTTGTTGTTTTTCTGAGTTAAATAAATAAACAAATACTTTGCCAATTTCTAGCACAGCGGGCATTAATTGTTTTGGGTTCTTTTGGCTTCGCTACCTTAAAGCAGGTGATCTCAAGGTACTTTAGTCTGATCGTTAGCGGACGTACGCAAACAAAACTTCGACTGCAAACCAAAACAAACAAACAAATGGCAAGTGCGAAATCCTTGACATTGCACGTTTTTTTTTGTTTTATACGTTTTTAAAAAAGTGTCATTCACATTATGTGTTGTTTGTTAAAGTTTTCAAAAAAAGCTAGCACAATTAAATAAAATTTTAAAAATATAATAAAATAAACTTTGGCAAAAAGATGTATTTTGGTTTAATGTTTCTTTCTAGCTGTCGGCCGCAAAATGTCAATGCGCAAAAACGTCTTTTAGCAACATGGCAAATACAGATTGTAAATTTTGTAATCAGATTTTTTGGCACACGCATCTTAACAGATCGCAGTAGATCTCATACACTTTGACACACTTCTTGTTAAAAATAAAAATTTTTTTACATGCAAAACATTTCTTTACATAAAATTTTCATTTTGTTAAAAACCCCAAAAGATCTTTTTCAATTAACAAAACTGCTGATCAGTTAAAAGTTTTCGCTTTTTTTTAGTTTAGCCCTGCCAACATTAATGCTTTAGAAATTGGCTCTAGAAGCTCATTAATCATTCTAATTTAAAATGATTTTTCAATTAGTAATTTTTCTTCTTCGCCGCAAATGCATTTAATATAATTGTCTAATCTTTATTTATTGTTTAATTTTTTGAGACAAAGAAAATTTTAAAAAAATATTATATGCCAAACCAAAGTTTTTCTTAAAATGTTATGATTTATTTGCAAAACTTGTCGAAATATATAATTGAAGAGGTTTTCTTTTATGGTTCAAGTACAAATTATTAATGCCAAAAGAATTTGCCGCAAAAAAAAAAATGTCAAAAATTTTAAAAGAAAAGGAAATCAGTATGACTCAGGTAGTTTGAACGTGGAGACCTTGAAATAGTTTAAGTAAATATCAGAGGGATTTCTTTGAAAGCATGACAACCGAAATCGCAAATTTCTTTAAACTAAAATGGAAACAAAATCGGCTATATATACTTAACAAAAGCTCTAACTGAGTAAATAAACCAAATCAGTGATATTTTCCATCAAAAAACGATTTTTATATGAAATATCTAAAATCGGTTGTAGATTCTTAAATAACGCTCTAATTAAGAAAATAAAGAAAATCTGTGATCACTCATATTTTCCATCAAAAATCGATTTTTATATGAAATATCTAAAATCGGCTGTAGATCCTTAAATAACGCTCCAATTAAGAAAATAAAGAAAATCTGTGATCACTCATATTTTCCATCAAAAATCGATTTTTATATGAAATATCTAAAATCGGCTGTAAATGCTTAATAACGCTCCAATTGAGAAAATAGTGAAAATCTGTGATCACTCATATTTTCCATCAAAAATCGATTTTTATATGAAATATCTAAAATCGGCTGTAGATCCTTAAATAACGCTTCAATCGAGAAAATAAAGAAAATCTGTGATCACTCATATTTTCCATCAAAAATCGATTTTTATATGAAATATCTAAAATCGGTTGTAAATCCTTAAATAACGCTCCAATTAAGATAATAAAGAAAATCTGTGATCACTCATATTTCCCACCAAAAAACGATTTTTATATGAAAAATCTAAAATCGGCTGTAAATCCTTAAATAACGCTCCAATTGTGAAAATAAAGAGAATCTGTGATCACTCATATTTTCCACCAAAAATCGATTGTTATATGAAATATCTAAAATCGACTGTAGATCCTTAAATAACGCTCTAATTGAGAAAATAAAGAAAATATGTGATCACTCAAATTTCCCACCAAAAATCGATTTTTAAATGAAATATCTAAAATCGGCTGTAGATCCTTAAATAACGCTTCAATCGAGAAAATAAAGAAAATATGTGATCACTCAAATTTCCCACTAAAAATCGATTTTTAAATGAAATATCTAAAATCGGCTGTAGATCCTTAAATAACGCTCCAATTGAGAAAATAAAGAAAATTTGTGATCACTCATATTTCCCATCAAAAATCAATTTTTATATGAAATATCTAAAATTGGCTGTAAATCCATAAATAACGCTCCAATTGAGAAACTAGTGAAAATCTGTGATCACTCATATTTTCCATCAAAAATCGATTTTCATATGAAATATCTAAAATCGGCTGTGGATCCTTAAATAACGCTTCAATTGAGAAAATAAAGAAAATCT